TGACGACCACGAAAACATTTTGAGCATTGTCTTAGTTCTAGAGGACCTACCCGTTCGAGTACGTTCGATGAAGTTTGTAAATAGATCCCAAACGGTTCTTAGTACGTCCAGTCCGTTCGTACACAGTTGAAGCCCGTTTTGGAGAACGTAGTGAGAACTAGTTTGGTGTGATAGTAGGGTAATGCAGCTAGATGCCTACTACTAGATATAGGCTGAACATTAACCTTTTCTATATCAACATATCGTATTGAAATCTCAGATAAAACTGATTTTTGAACTGTTTCGCATCCTTGCTGCAAGGGTATTTTACAAGTATATAATTTAGGCATAATAAAATGAAGTCCTTTGAAGAAGGATGCTGTTTCGGTTCGTATCGCATCTCGGAATGTAGGTTTCATAACCTTCGGGATCGATGTCCACACGGACATGTATGTAGACATAAGATTCGTATGCACATTGCACACGGATAAACAATGTACAGTATCTCTACATAAAATTCGAATTCATCATCTCTCCAAGGTTTTTCTATTGTTGTCCGACCTTATTGCTTTCACTGTTTCCAGTTCCATCGCATTTATCTTTATACCAAAGTATTCTGAATAGATTACCAAGATATTGCATGAAGTTAATTTAGCAACGGACGAAAACAAACGTTGGATGCACGTTCGTAAATGGATATAGGATGTCGTATTATTAATTTTCTATGGTATAAGATAATATATATGATAATGTAATAAACACTTTGTTATCAGTCCTTATAAATACTTCGGATGATTATCACTCCCTTTATCATATACATGTGTAAACGGTTATTTCATTTCCAAGTCAAACTTATAAATAGCCCTTTTAATAACATTGTCGACACTCAATAAGTATTCCAATATATGCAATGTTAATAAAGTGATTACTAAACAAAAAGTGACGGCCATTTTGAAATTTTGTACTCATTTTACAGACAATACGGGGTATGTCATTAATTGTGAAAAGCAAATTACAATTGGAATGCGTTTTATTGGTGATAAAATTGGGCTCGTCATCTATCGAACAGACTCTACTGTTTAATGTACTTGGTAAGGGCCTTTATTGAGCAAATAAATGTGTCATTTCTTGTTGTTGATGTACCATAGAAGCGGACACTACATTCAGTATAACAGTATTTGTTATGCGAGGGTGATTAATGCAAACGCACCGATTAATAAGGGCAAATTTTCAATTTAATATATTGTATCGGCGTTACTTACTTCGTAGTTGTCCGCATTTTATTCATAGTATACACTAGTGTTGTTTGGTTTTGCAAATAAAGCACGAGATGTAAAGTCGCGTGTGTCCTCGCTTTAGACCACGCGTTGCAAAAAACGCTTGTTATTACGTGTTTTTGATTGAAAATTTTATGACTTACCCTGGAATTATGTATCAAATAAAACTAAACAATTTCAATTTGATTTTTACGAATTTCAAAATGAATCCAATTGCAGTGAACCTAACATCTACATGAGCTTAGTTTCGGGGAAAATTAGAAGTGTGGACTGTGGAGGCCCTGAACTCCATTACGATTGGGAATACATAGGTTCTATATAGTGCAATTAAGAAAGATACTTTAGATGGCCTCTGTAATTACTCAAATTGAATGCAAATACTCAATCTCTATCAAATATTGATAGTACAATCCACATTTCTCAGGTCACTTATGGATGTGCAAATATAGCAATTCATAGTTTGCTGAATATTTATACATCGTTAGTCTTTGATGTGAGCAATTAACAGTTACTACTGCAAATGTTTTATCGAAATGAAGTGTAGATTCACGATTTACAAATGTGATCATTTGCGTATCATTTGTAATGTTTTCAAAGGGTTTTGGTTCTTGCTTACAGATCATTTCTGTTTAATCTTGTATTATGATTTATATGGTAACAACGAAGTGAAGGATGGGTAGAACCAGAAGCTCACTGTCATGTAAACAATGCATTAACATGCAATATGTCATCACCTGCCATTTGTTACAGACGCCAAACATCAATCACTAAACGCCGTACATCAACCGCCGAACACCGTCCATAAAAAACTCGGAGAATATAACATTATGATGATATATATGATGATATGTATGATATGGTGACATATAAAGCAAAGAAAGGTGTAAAATTATGAATGTATATGTGTTTCTAGGATTCTAAATCTGCCCTGGGACGTATTATGTAACTACAAGCATCATCCATCTAACCTTTATTCCCTGGAGCATATTTGGTAGCTTTAGGACATACAAGGCAAACATGCTACTATGGCACTTTCCAAATAATCACACAAGGATAAAACTGACAATTTATGAAAAGGTGATAATCAGAGTACTGAGTACTGAGGTAGATGCAAATATATTATCAATTTTAATGGTAACTATTAATAAATGAGGAATCACGACTTTGCAGCATTACACTATCAGGCACTGTAAAAGGGCTGTGAATAAAGTCAGTCTACATTTCTATAATCCATTAGGAATATTATCTATGACCTGTACATGGTATATCACTTTATGTCGTCATCATTCAGTGAATATCATGTTTCATCTATTTTTATACAAATATTAATCATTGTCTATTCTGCTCTATACTACAGAATTGCTGCTACATGATGATAATACATATTATTTACATACAATAAACAAAAAGATTCCAATCAAATATTTTTGCAAAACCTGCGTGAACTCGTAGGCAAATACTCAGAAAACCTTGTCCGTAGAAGTCACGTTATGTGGGAATCATTAGGGAGTTTAAGCTTGTTATGTTTTTTACAACCTAAACGTGAACGGAGAATATTTAAGCGATGCATTTGCATGGGTGATTGGTCATATGTATATGTTGGCGTTTCGATTTTATATGCAAGCTTAAACTCCCTTTTGTTAGGTGAAGATTCCATCTTTAAAATCCCACCTTACTTGAGCAAATAGCGGGTCAGTTGGTGTTCCGCCTCTTGATACTGTATGTTCTTAAACAAATGGTCGAGACGGACTGCCCGTTTCACGAACAATCAAGGGAAAAGTCAACACTGTTGAAAGAACTTTACGAAGGAAACGTCAAGTTGACTGAATCAGAGACATATAAAACATAAATATGATTATTTTTTGCATTCCCACATGTCATATGAAATACATTAGCGGATCAAAATGCCATTGGATTCTTCTGACCATGGGCGTTGAAAGCCCATGTTCTGATCTACAAGTTTGTCGTAGTTAGCCTTAGAATTCTTTTTAATCTTATAAACATGAATAATAAGTCACCTAGGTAACTCAATCTGTTTACAAAAAAAGTTACCATTGTTGAGTTATTGCTCTTAATATCGAGCCATCAATTTCATCTCATTTGTTTTACCCACGATGTGTTCAATGAATTAATTATAAGAATGAATAATCCACTTTGAATGTATCCTCATTGTGTACATTCGAATTCACCCAGCTTGAATATTCAATCAAAAAGGTACATTCGAATTCACCCAGCTTGAATATTCAATCAAAAAGGTACATTCGAATTCACCCAGCTTGAAAGTTAATTCATTAAGTACATTTGAATTCACCCAGCTTGAATATTCAATCAAAACGCACATTCGAATTCACCCAGCTTGAATATTTCCTCATTACGTACATTCGAATTCACCCAGCTTGGATGTCACCCTATGTTCATTAGAATTTTCCCAGCTTGAATATTACCTCATTACGTACATGTACATTCGAATTTACCCAGCTCGAATATTTCCTCATTATGTACATTCGAATTCACCCAGCTTGGATGTCACCCTATGTACATTCGAATTCACCCAGCTTGGATGTCCTCCTATGTACATTCGAATTCACCCAGCTTGGATGTCACCCTATGTACATTAGAATTTTCCCAGCTTGATATTACCTATCAAGGTAACGTACATTACGTACATTCGAATTTACCCTGCTCGAATATTTCCTCATTATGTACATTCGAATTTACCCAGCTTGAACGCTCCCACATGATAAGGTATATTAACCCAGCCTAAATGTTTCTCCATATAATGGTACATTTAATGTATTTATTTGAAAAGATGTGAATAAAACATCGACAAGATTTTATCCATTTAAACCACTTTAAAGTACTTCTACTTTAATAAGAAGAGAGATCACGTTGAGAAAAGGAACGCGTCCGTAACATTTTTTTCTAAAAATTCACTGAAATTCTTTTTCTCCCGTGAAGTCAAGTCGGAGCTGGTAAATTACGTTGGCAAAATACTTAGCGACAAAAAGTCAAAATAGTTTCTACTTTTATCTTCCTGCATATGGCGAACATACTTGTAAAACATTTATTAATTAATTAGTTGCTATGCAGTTTTAGAAATCCCGGACATTTAGACACACAACTTCAAGTATTGTTTAACACATCCTTATGCGATGAGCGTGCAAATGAGGTAATTGATGTGATGTCTTATTTCCACATGAAACATATTTTTATCTTGTTTTAATCCAAGAAGTAATCGTTTGGATAATAAGTTTACTAACCAAGAATAACAAAGACATGAATCATGTGTTCTATCCTTCATTAATCTCGCATCTCATTCTTCATACAATTTCAACTGAATGTCGGACGTCGATCGGTATGGTTAATCCTAGTTTTGAAAAATGAATGGGCATTGGACCCAGTATTACTAGTATTTTAAAGCTGATGTTTTGACGATACTCAATAATCATACCACTTAAACCACAATACCTCACCTTATAACCCTCATAACCAAAGACTTTTGCACGTTGACCCCCCCCCCCCCGGCACGATCTCAGAGATGAATAAATGCGACTTTGAAAGCCTAATGACAAACAACCTATGGATTTTATGACTGTAACATTTATCAAATTGCCATTTGCATGTGACTCTTACACGAACAGCGGGGGTATTGACTGTGACCCAAAGACAGGGTCGATGTTGACTCCATCCTAAAACAAACAGGGGCAGTACGCCCGACAGTAAGCTTACACCCGGCGGTCTTACCTATGGTTGAGACAACGGTGCCGACGAAGTAAAAGGAACCAGAAAAGTCCCATCTCTGCCTCCGGTCCTCTAGCAACCCAGCAGTATAGGCGTCCGCGTGAAGCTTAAGCATCTTGTCAAAAGACTCTTTTGATATGTTTGGGTGGAGGGAAAGGAAGAGCTTGTATTGGTCATAGTACTCTTTGCGTTCCCTTGTTTCGTTGTCCCTCTCCAAGAACATAAACAGGGCTGCCCCTGAGAGCATATAGATGACCATTACTAGGGCAAGCAGTATGAATCTGGCATTGTCTTCACGTAGGTGTAAAATCACACAACACCCGCTCCCTCGGGCCATCACCATGGGAACACTACCCTTGACCACGTGACCTTTCACGTTTTTGGGGTTTGGAATAATGCACGAACAAATAGTTTCGTAAAATCATATTTATGATATGTCATTTTAGCTGCTTATAATACCTTAATGTTAACTATAACGTCCATTGTTTTAACAGCTGCTTCTCTTTATAAAACGTTGCAGTTAACGCCATTTATATTTGCTCAGTAATGTATGATAATTCCAATATACAACAACACGGTTATGACTGTTAATCCAATCTACCTTTATGCAACATTTTAACGTCGATATCGTGGTCTGAAAGAATCCCAGGTTAAACACTTCCAATTATCATCTTCTTCGATTTTTAATTCCATCTTGACCGTACAAATCGTTATATTCATCACAGTTCTCCATTTTATAAATATGTAAATCCGTATGATTTATCATCCAATTTTAATAAATAACTGTTTTGTTTTCCCAGATGTATAGCCGAAGCCCAACGATACTTCTTTATGTGGTGAAATCTGTCATACGATGGCCAACAAAAATACCTCAGTGGTGGTTATTTCTTAATTAACCACGATGATTTCAAGGGATCTTATCGTTTGTTGCTTGGCCTGTTCTTTAGAATTATATTTTAACATAGCTTAATCCTGTAAGATTTATCCGCTGTTTTTCTGTTGCTATAGAATTGTTTCCCGGACTTGAATTAGAGCGTCTCGCAATAATTGCCGCAATATCCATGCGAACGTCAGTTGCGCCATCTGACGGTAATAGCATGCCAATTGCGGTTGTAGATGCGGCAGGTGAACAATGAAACAATTTCATTATTACGGGAATAACATGAGGCCACTCACGAATGCTTAAAGAAAGCCACAGCCTCGCGTAACATCGATAATATGAAAGTTTATTTCGATGAATGAAATGGCGATTGAATTCTAGTTCTACAGACAACCATATAGCTGTGTATCCCTTCGGTTGTATGATAACATACGATAATATAATTTAAATCAGATTTCCAGCTCAACTCAATTGTTTCAGATAAATTCGGACCTACCTGATAAATAGTGAGCCTAAATTTATTTATCTTACACCACATGACACTGTGCTGGGGCAGGGAATGAGAAACGGCGTATTAATTACAAGACACCAAACTACAAAGTACTGGTACTAGTACATGTATATTAGTTACAAATGACAGATTCACTGGATATCGTTCTGTTAATCTGCATCATTATACTTAGCAACCGCTATCATTTTCAAAATATCTTCAGGGACGTAGCCAGCTTTGGGTATTGGTAACATGATGACAAATAGAACTCTTATCATTAAAAACTACTCTTTCAAAAGGCTATGGAATGTAAAAAGTCTTTCGTGATCCGGTGCCGTCTGGGCTGTTGGTTTCATCATTACTAAATGTTAGTGCATATATTGTATTTTAAATTGTATTTATTGTATGTGATGTATCTACAGCGTGAGCATCTAGTACATATTTGATTAACTAACGTTTTAAGAGAAAGGTATTAGCGAATCATACTCTAAAATATACAGTTTCCTTTGAATTTATTAATGTTAAAATGCGGTGACTTAATAATATTTAAAATGATTTCAAGATCGAACTCGGACAAAGCTAACGTTCAAAAGTTACAGCCCTTTCGAATCCAATGCATACGGTACCTTCTTGATTAAGATGTCACTTTGTGAAGATGTTCTTACAGAGACTTTCTTCTAAAATCCAAAAGGGTTCTCCAAAAGACACCCCCTAAAATATCCAAAAGAAAGGAGTGGTATCGATATGGGAAACATGTTTCGTGTTTCCAGAGTGAAATGAAACATCTTTCCGAACCTCATTGGAACAAAACGACATAAACACAACATGCTTAGGTATCTCAATATTGTAATTGTACAAAGGAATTTTTGGTTGGTTTTAAAAAAGTTTCTTGTTAATGAAATAAAAGGTTTATCTTGATTTTTATCTATTTTGGGGGATTTTGTTTTAATTTTTTGAATACTTTTTTAAAACCAACCAAAAATTCCTTTGTATAACTATAATATTGAGAGGTCTAAAAACATGGTGTATATACTATTTTGTTCCAACAAGGTTCGGAAAGACATTTTATTTCATTCTCAAGAATTGGTAGAAAGGAGCAAAAACAATTGCACTAAAAACAAAAAATGTTAACAAAAACACTTATAAATATAAAATATTTCTAAATAATTTTCGCATTAAATTGTTGTCAATCAGTCAACATTACATAAAATACCGTGTTTTTTACAGAATGTTTTCAATGATTGGTTTAAGAGAAAAACATTGTTGAATTCAGTTCTCCATATCGATACCACTCCTTTGATAATGTAATACTGATCATTAATCATTCCATGCATATTCATAGTCAAAGAAAGTTTATAAAAACAAGGCGGTTATCGGTTTACATGGATTTGGAAGTAAGGTGACATGTAATGTTCTAATGCCTTACATATAAAAAATAACCCTGAATACGGCAAAAGCTCATCATTCCCTAGCCCTATGGTGAACAGGGGTTCTATTTTTTTATGTTATTTACAAACCCACCCCCTCCTTTCATTAGGGTTCCTCACATAAAAGCCTTTTTTTATTTATATATACAATTTACACTCATACACTCCCTCCAAAAATTTTGGCATGACAGCTTTTTTTAAAACGTGTAAATGGTCAGGCAAAATTAGAAAATATGGAGCCTAGATAATAATATGAAGTGGCAATTAATCACATTGTGTGAAAATGGCGTACGACAGAGAGGTCTCATAGGAAAGTGATGACCGTCCCATGAAAGCACCAGCCAGGCCATATGCCCAACATCTTGGTCTGACATTATCACGATTAAGTTCAAAAGTCGGCTGAATGTGGCAAAGAGCAGATGAAATACCATCAATAGACTTAAGTTTACGGAGTCGTGTGAAGAAACCCTTGAAGAAACCAAAACCAATGCCATTGTTCACGCAAAGGTGTAAATAAGTCCAACAGCATAAGGTTCAATGGTGCCAAGTGATCTTCATTAGCGATAATTTATATTTCATCAACCGCACAACCATAATGGCCGAACTGACAGACTTTTTAGAGGAAGGCAACTTGAAGAATTTACGATTCTCACTTTTAGCGTACATATGGAGCAAACATTCCGCGTTCAAGCGCTTCACTTTTAAGGGTATAAGAGGAGGAAATGCCACAAAAGTCAAATATTTTGGACGGACAGACAGACGGAAATTTGAGTGATTGCAATAGCTCACCATATGAGCTAATAAAAAGAGAAATCTTACCATAATTCCAGCACGGATGTTGCGTCATTTTGCTACGACTGTCGCTTGTCATCTAGACATGTGAGTTATTGTATTCTAAATACTTACAATTATGTCGGATACTATTTTTTACAATATAACATTATAGCCTGTTGTGAAATGAAAAAATAAAATCCAAAGTTAGATTCAGAAATATCTTTACGGGCCTGGAAATCGATCTAAAGGTAACTAACCTACGAGGTGATCAAGAGATAATCCTTGTCTTTGAGCCATGATATTAACAGAGATCATGAATATATCTTGGCTTTCATGGGAATACGTCCAATTGTCATATTGTACTTTTATATTAAGAGAAGATATGCATTTATCCCATGGTTAGAAGGATATAGATCGAATATCACGTGAAGATACCAGGTCGTTCAATAAGTTCACGGAAAAATGCTCTCATTTCAAAGATTTTTGATATTTTCTCATGAAATTTTCACACAATGAATAAAAAATACTTTCTGATTGAATATTAAAATATCAGCATCTCTTATTTGATTGGTCAAAAATAAGGGTTACTATGGTAACTTGACTTTTGGGTATGCGGGGCACTTTTTACGTCACATTATTCATTAGAAAAACAACAGAATAGTAGGCAGTTTATGAGTATATCACATGAATTTCTTCTCCGCTTTCTACTTGTACATGAAATTACTTAATGCAATAGTTACAACTATTGTCCCATAAGGTTTCAGAAATATTCTCCCTCATGTTTAATGCACAGTCGCTTGCATTCAGCCCATTGACGATACAGTGCTCTGAAGCCATCTGGAAAACTTGTTTAAAAGGCAATCTTGACTGCAGTCGAAAGTTGTTTCATTGTTCCATAAAGTGCACCTCTTTGCTGATCCTTCATCCTAGTGAAAACAGCAAAATCAAGGACTGTCTCATCTGGAGATTATGTAACTTGGGGCAGCTTTGCCATCTATTTTGCCAATTAATTGAGATGATTTCTTGCACAATATTAGCAGTGTGATCGGCTGCATTATTACTATGGAAAAATTTAGAGTTTGGCTGGTGGTTAAGTTTTAATCAACTTTCCATAGCATATCATATACTCTTTGTTGATTTTCTGGTCCACTGGTACAGCATTGACTAGCACGATTTCAGAAATGTTCGTGATAACAATGAACATCAATTTTCCCTCAGAACACTTGTAATATAAATAAGAACAAATAAAAAATAGGGATCCTTCATTTGCACATATTGATAGATATCTGTAATGGTAAATTGTGTGACGTAAAAAGTGCCTCGCCTACCCAAAAGTCAAGTTACCATAGTAACCCTTATTTTTGACCAATCAAATTTGAGATGCTGATATTTTAGGAATCATTCAGAAAGCATTTTTTGCACATTGTGTGGAAATTTTATGGGAAAATATCAAGAATCTTTGAAATGAGAGAATTTTTCCGTGAACTTATTGAACGACCTGGTATATGTGATATGTGGATCAAGATATCATACTTCAGCAAAAAATCCCCAAACCATCGAATATCACTTTTGAAACCATCGAATATCATTTTGAAACCATCGAATATCACTTTTTAAAAGGTGATATACAATGGTTTCAAAAGCGATATTCGATGGTTTCGATTTTTTTCATTTTTTCAAAATTTCTTCAAGAAAATAAAAAAAAATTTAAAAATTAGAAAAAAAAAAATTCGATATTTTAATTTCTATAAAAAACAAAATCTAAAAAAAAATTCAATTTCAATTTTTTAAGTATATTTTTCAATTTGTTTCGCTAACGGACAATCCTATGGTTTTTCAAACATATCATTTATATCCATGAGTGGATATCGATATCTACACGAGTGAGCGCAGCGAGTGAGTGAAGATATTGATATCCATGATATCCCATATCTGAACGTGTCTGGGATCAATGAAGCAGTTTTGTTAAATGTTGTATTTCCAACATCGGGCAAAGCTTTTTATCCCATGATACTACTCTTTCCCGGTGAATAACACTTGGGGATATTTAAGATATCGAAAAAAATCGTATCGTCCCGCCCAATCCCGCTCACGAAAATCGTATTCACCCCGTAATCCCGCTCACGAAAAAGGTATTCACCTCCTCGGATTTATCCCAAACAAAGTTTTCTATTTCGTATTGTTGAACTTTGTCATGTTAATGTGTTTATGTTATACAATACATCTATGTGCTTTAAAATGTCATATTTTCATAATTTGTAGACTAAATATTGTCACGAGGAATAAAACCCATGTCAAATCCCTCCCAGTAAATAATCTCTATATATTCATAGCTCAGAGACAGACATACACATATGCGAGATGCAAGGACAAACCAAATGTTCTTTAAAGTGCTGTAACAATGTGACTATCAATCTGATTGTCATGAAATAAGGTAGGCAGGTAGGAAATCGAATGATGTACAAATGTGTTAAGTTATTTCTTAAAATGACAAAGATATTAGGAAAACGGTGCAACGGTTCCAGTTTTTTACCACCTTGTACATACAAAGTAAACAATAAAGCTCGCTTTGTCAGTTCCAAAAATAATTCCAATTCAAAAATCCACGAATACTAAATGTATAAGATAGTTCAAACATTATATCGATAACGCTTGGTAAAGCCCGGAAAGGACAACTTTCATTTATTGAATTAGACCTTAATAAATTCGAGACGTCTCTAGGGGAAATTGGGTCATGACGATCAAGAGAAACGGTTATTAATAAATACTTTCATATGAAGGTTCGCAAACATTGCCGTGATTTATTGACAGGATTGAAGACCTCCTAATCGAATAAATCAACGGGTTATGTATTAGATGAAGATGATAATCAACTATGTAAGGATACTAGCATTTTTATTCCACTTTCATTTTTTGACAATTGAACAATTGCACAAAGCAAGTGAAGCTTGAAATGTTACGCACAGGCCTGGGAAAGGCTGCAGATTGAGGCGGTGCTTCAATTCATTTGTCCATAATGTTCATTTCTTGAAGATGGTCGTCTGACTGTGTGAAAATGTCTACTTCGATAAGGAAACAATCATACAGACGTTGCCTACTTGTAATTTCTATCCATCCATCCCCGGTTGGGTTATAAGACTTAAACTCGTTACCAGCATCGTCTCCAAGGGCTGCTTGTTTTGGCACCTATATGGTTCTCAATATTTAAACCAATTAGCTGATCGGTCAAGGTGTAATTGTACAGGAACTATGACAATACATACTTAGGTAATGGTAAGGAACTACCAAACCAATTAGTTGAGTTCCGGCTGGCCCTGGACTATGCCTTAATGGTGAATTGAACTATTACGCAGGTTGAAAGGGAAGCACTTCCAGTCACAAGGAAAACAAATCCCAAATATCCCAGAATTGTGATTCTTCATGTTAACGTCATTCAGAGGAACAATGTGTCTGTGTGTAAGATAATTCATGCAACATAAATGAAGGCATTAACATGACAAGATGTCATGCACCATCCTGTAAGTTCTGGTGTTGACATAATTAAAACTCAAAGACGGGTGGTCTCATAGTTTTACGACAGAACTCTACGTATCGCCTATTTTTCTATCACTGTGATAGAATAGAGGAGGAATCTCTCTCATAATAATAAAGTTCATAATCCAGGTATAACAGTGCTTAAAATGTGAATGACTCCGTCACTATGGTAATGCATGAAGATGAATGTGTCACTATGGCGATGTATGATTGAAATGGAACAACTGCAGCTAATCATAGAAAGTTGAATCCAGGGTTGGAGCTTCATAATTTGGATTTTAAATATTCAGCTCCATCAAAATGGCATTCACCTCGGTGAAACTATTTACTACATATACATGATGGGAAGGAAATTAATTTTCACATCGATTGGAAAGCTTTTTATGGTTAGAGTGGCGGTGAGAATTAATGTTTACCTCATTTTCAGGTCGTTCACCTCTAATTTTAGCTTCTGAGCTTTCCAGAACACATATGGCTTTCACAATAGAGACTGGAGAGTTTATAATTTTGTTTAGCGGTGCTCTCCTAGGATAACCCCGTCTGATAACACCAGAAAATATACCTGTAATCTACTTCTAATGCATATAAACTATGCATTATTCAAAATAAGAATTTGACCTTGACCTAGATAAAAAAAAAAAAAGACATACTGCACATTTAGATTTGACCCTCAATATTTGTATCTAGACCAGACATACTTTTGTGTTCAGAAAATATAAAAATCAATGTCACAGTCAAACCTGTGTAAATGGAAAACATTTGGCACCCTTAGGTGTTCAAATAGGGGAGGGGTGTTCAATTTAGAGGTGTTCATTTGACTGTCGTTATACTATAACTGGTTATTCACTGTTCAGCGTTCTCGGAATCCAAGGCACCAGACATCATCAACAAAGTTCCTTCAGAACGATGTTCGAATTCTGGAGGCCTGTGTCCGGAGGATGCTGATCAGTAGCAAAGACTTTTCTGTTAGGTTTTATGTTGCCAGCTGTTAAATAATTTATTTTAATGAAGCATTTCACTGTCCTGTCATATCATGACCGATTCATATAAGTGTTCTGTTGTACATACTGACTGTATACATCATGGATTGTACTTATAAGCTGGAATGGATAAAATGACTCATCTTTTAATTGTTGAATGTTTTAATCTCATAGGATATGTTGTTTTTTTTAGGATATGGTGATAATGTTATCATACTTGCAAAATCATCTGCTATAATACAAGTATCGGCCAAAATGGAACACAAGAATCTTCCTCCAAATTATCAACAGGATTGCTGTTCTGTTGCGAATAGTAATGATATTGATAAACATATGTCATAAAATTGTGTGCTATGTAAAATGCCTCATAACGTAAATAGGGTCTAACATGTCTACATAGGGTCTAAAATGTCTAAATGCGGTCTAACATGTAAATACGGGTCTAAAATGTCTAAATAGGGCCTCACATGTCTAAATAGGGTCTAACGTGTCTTAATAGGGTCTAACATGTCTAAATAGGATCTAAAATGTCTAAATACGGTCTACCATGCCTAAATAGGGCCTTAAATGTCTAAATAGGGTCTAACATGTCTAAATAGGGTCTAAAATGTCTACATTTTTTTATTCTATCATCCCCTCCCCCAAAAAAGGTCTTCCAATTTTATCAAATTGTATTTGAACAAGATGATGTAAATGTTGAACTTTAAGGATGCAACTGAGAAATACAATCAATATTTGGATTAATAGTTATTACACAATATTGCCTTTAGTGTAATCATTCATGGAGGAAAGTGATTACAGCTACACAACAGGAGTATATGATAGCTGGGTATAGATACTGAACAAAGCTACATGTGGTTGGAGAGCCGGGAAGAAATTCCCATTATTACGTTTCAGCAACTCAAAATTCAATAATGACTAGTATCAAGCTGTGTTCCAGAGTCATATCTAAGTCACTGTTACAATATCACCATGGGACGTCCTTCCGCTGCGTCCACCAACATTTTGAGATAAATGAACTTGAAGACAACAAAATGTGAGAGTAAAACAGTGAATTTATGTACATGGCTCATTCTGTGTTTCATTCGCTCTAGATCTTGTTGCATATTTGGTAGTATAGAGGCATATTTGGTAGTAAAGAGGCATATTTGGTATAGAGGTTCGCGTCGTACTTTTTAAAAGGGTCACAGAAAGACAAAGAATCACAGCAAAAAGTCAACTGTACATATTTTCTAGATTTATGGTCATGTGATAATTCTCTCCATCCCAAAAAGTTTCTGCTAGACATATTTAATACATGTAGGGGCCTACAGGACACTTTATTTCCAGTTGAGGAAGATATGCCCTTGGGTTTTTAGGTGTTTATGTCAGAACTTTTCTCTCTATTAAATCTGAGGAGTAAATTTTTCAGCATTTGTGATTTTTCGAGAAAATTTTGTCTGTCATCAACATTTTGACCCAATATTGCTTTAGACCTGGGGACTGGGGATCGACTTTGCTTGGCAAAAAACCACCTTAAAACCTGGTCAATTCTGTCGTGCATCTCCAAGCATTTCAATCAATGTGATTGTGCCGTCTTCCCTCTGCAGACACTTGATTCCTGTGAATTCAAGCAAAATGGAAATATTATCTCTTAATTTCGTCATATCCCATGGTTCTCAGGGGAATTGAATTAACAGTCTGCAGAGAGAAAGAAATGACATTCAAAGAAACTGCTCTGATAAATATCATGTTGAAAACAACTCTCACATATCAATTAAAGAATTCAATGGTACTCTTTACAATACTCATGTTAAACTGAAGATCATGATTACATTATTGTAGTTAATAACATGTATATTAACAGAATATAATAATAATCATAGTAGACTATACAAAATTTTACATCTGTTTATATGTACTGTATTTACAATGCTATGTATATTGGCATATGATGCTAACATTCATTTCATAAATAAGTGTAACACAACATGTCCCCCCTCATCCCTGTGTACATACATACATTTTATGATACTAGTAGGCCTTAATGGGCTCACATTTAATCACAAATGGACTATATCTAACTATAATACTCCTATATTTAATTATAATAGGCCCATAGATTTTACTACATTTCTAAGCTAATATTTAAACACAATAGTCCAGTATTAAACCACTGTTGGCAAATATTCAACCATAGTATGCAAATATTCAACCATAATGGGCAAATATTCAACCATAGTGGGCAAATATTCAACCATAGTGGACAAATATTCAACCACAGTGGACAAATATTCAACCATAGTGGACAAATATTCAACCACAGTGGACAAATATTCAACCACAGTGGACAAATATTCAACCACAGTGGACAAATATTCAACCACAGTAGGCAAATATTCAACCATAGTAGGCAAATATTCAGTTTCAGTGCAGCAATATCCAAACAAAATAGGCCAGATAGGCCAATAATCAACCACAATATTAATGGCTTTAAATAATATACAACATAAGAAGTCATCTTCAGTATTCAACTGTCTTTGTGAAACTTTTGATATAAGGTAGTATTTTATCCAAGAAATGATAAATCTTTCTTATAATAGTACATTTATCTACTACATATTGGTAGTAGAAAGCTACAGATCACTACAAATGCAACTTTTTAATTTGCCATTAAATACATGCAGGTATTGAAGATGTATATCATCCACCTATAACAGGTTATCAATTTATATAAGCTGTACACTATAATCCATACATGTACAAGTACCTTACAACGTTTACTGCAAAATGGGACTGTTAAATCAAAATCAATGATAACCTTGTATCACACTGCGCTTTACATGACCAGGTGTATACTGAAGGTCAGTAATAATATATTCCATTGTCATCATAGTCTAATGGGCCATCAATCTCGTCAATAGCTTCCTCTATTTGCTCCTCTTCTCCAACGTGATTGGCTACTGGTGTTAGACTAGACTCCGCCTCCTCCGTACTGGTGGATACACTCTGTGTGTTTGGCAAAGTGGTGTCGGGAACCGGGGGTGGGTCACTTTTATCTGTTTTCATAGTTAATACTTTAACTTCACTTAATTTTTTAACATTGATTGATGGATTTGTCACCTTGTTTGAGTCAGTAAAGTCATTTGGTTCAACTGGCCCATTTTGCAATGGTTTAATGTCTGTCGTATGAGTTGACACAGTAAGTGGAATGGGTGAATCAGTAGCCTCCTCTTTCTGTTCAACAGGCCCATTACTGACAGACACATTACTAGTCTCTTCTACAGAGATAGGGATCATTGGTGCACTACTTAAAGTCACAGTTAGTTCAGATACAGATTTCTTACTGTCACTTGGTGCAGTCTCCTTGGCAACAGGTTTATCTTTGGTCATGTGATCTATGACATCATCATTACTTGAATCATCAACTTCATCCTCGATATCACTTGGGATTTTCATTTTGGCAAATTCTTCCTTTAGCTGGCTGTAATGGCGCTGAAATATGAAGGAAAAAATGAATAATCTTTTATATCTTAGTACAATGGAGATAATATAGTATACCTTTAGTGGATGGTATGACAGAAGATAAGATGAAAATCATGACATTGATAAACTAAGACTACATCCTTATTCATGTCTTCATTCAAAAAAGTTTCATTGAAGAAATGCTATCTGTGATAAAAATAGATTATAAAAGACAGCTAAGACAAGAGTAATGCAGAAGTGGCATGACAAGCAACATTCTGTTACGTATGACTGCTATTTTGGGGATTCTGATGTCTAAGTGACCTTGACACTAATCCTATATCCTGTTGTATAACATAGTTTAAAATAACTTTGTATTGGCATAATCCTGTAGAAAGTTCTTGACATCTTAAAGACAACACGTGAGGTTTATCTTGGTAAAAGCGGTAACCATTACACGTGTCAAAATTAGAGAAAAAATTCTGGGAGTTTTTTTTGTCGCTTTGGGTCATCAAAAGGTTAAAGTAATCAAGACAATTTAGAAAGTAAATATCACGTTGTCAAATTGTTTACTTCTGATAATGATGTGGAAGAAATTGTAAATATTTCATTGTGTAAAATTGTTATTGTATTGTAATTGTGCCTAATATCCAATGATTGGGTGACACTTTAATCAATTATTCGAAATTTGTTATTATTCAGAATTTTGTTCAGTAAGATAATTAGGATGCTAAATATCTATAATTCTGAAAATAATTCCTCATTTATAATATGTGGGTACTCAAACAAGAGAACAAGGTTTATTTGGTATATGACACCATATGCGTAAAAGTTATTTAAATGTTAAACATATCACAATCTAATATGAACTATTCAATGCTTCACCTTTTTCATTAAGGTATTAGAGGAATACATACATACACACCAGCTGGGATTTTGTTCATATCTCAAAAATAATTTATTTATTTGACACCCTGTAATCAGTAAGATGGAAACATAACCTCTCTATGATTAATATAGTATGAATATCTTATTTTCATAAGGTTACGGTAGATATATGAAGAATACTAATTAATTAATGCTATAGTCAACTCCCAAAGTTGTTTGCAATGCATGAGCAATTCATGTATGTACAGAGGCCCAGAAGGAACAGATCTGCCGAAAGGAAAAAAATATCACAAATTATCTCTCTTAGGTAAAATACTCAGCGCAGTTAGTTTTCATTTCCCTGCCCCCCCCCCCCATTGCCAGCTACGACAGGTCTTAGAATAAATGCAATATTGAAGATGATATGAATCATTAAATTATAATACAAGGTCAGAAGCATTTAGTTAATAAAACATATGAAGTACAGCACAATTTAAATAGATGAAAATAAATAAGTTAATAATTCTAACAATAACACGAACTTGACATTCGCCTATCTTCTCTTATCAGCTCTAAATGGAAGAAAAACATCCAAGTCATGAAAAGTCAATATATAAAATGAAAAATACTAAATTAGTTTCATGAAATAACAAATGAGAAAAGCCATAGCATAAAATAGAACAATACATGTCAAATGGAAAGGATGAGCAAATAATCCAGATATTATTTCAATAAAGACCTTTTTGTATAATTCCGTACCACGAACAGCTGCTGGCAATAATGAATAGGGGTGTACCATTAGATGATTCAGTATAGTGGTGTTAATTCACCGCTTGAGCATTGACCAGTTAACCAAGATTTTTTAAAGTTGGTTAACTGACAAGAAGTTTAACTTGACTTCAAAAGAGATCTTGAAAGTTGAAAAACACAGGATTTTACTTTTTTACCTTTCGAAGGTCATTGAAGGTCAACCAAAGGTCAAATCTCAGATGATCTGAAGTAAGATTTGAACTTCTGAGAACTTGTAGATGATTTTGATAGATCAAATTGAATCAGGCTGAAAAAATAACTTTTTGACCTTCAATATGTTGCTATGGTAACAGATATTGGCAGATATGTGTTGAAACAGTGCTTGTTCAGTTCTTGGAAGAATTTGCCAAACACCAAACACCAATCACCACACAATGAACACCAACCACCAAACACTGTCCACAACTGGAGGTGACTTAAAAACTAACAGACTACTTTGCAATTTTTGCGTGGGAAATAACAGAATTATACACAGTTGACTAATTAACAGTAATGAAAATACAAACTGGTCAATGCACTATCGATGGTTAACCGATTAAGACTGACACCAATGATTCAGTATCATAAACAGCTGCTGGCAATAATGAATGGGGGCGCATCATTCTCACCTTTTTCTTCAAGATAAAGTCCAGCTCTGAGCCAAGATGTAAATTTTTTTTAAATTAGAAAACGGCAACTTTGCAGAGTAGTAAATCCCACTGAAAAAATTCTTGGGTAGGCTTGCTTGTCCCTACGCACCAGCATATAAAATCAAAACTGAATCCATTAACTGGTACTTGAGTTGTCAAAGATTGCATTTTTATGAAAAAAGATGGTCATTTTGAAATTCAGTGGACATCTTGAAAATCTTCTTGAGCAAAGCTCCTATGTTCCTAGGCATCAGCACATAAAATTTGAGTTATCAAAGATTACACCTTGGCAACCATTTTAAATTGAGTGGCCATATTGAAAATTCATTCTTGAGCAGAGGTCCTACAACCATAAGACATACCCCTATAAAATTTGAAAAAAATCTGTCAACTGGTATTTGAGTTATCATCTAGACACATGAACAGATGGACAAACAGCTTCTCTTTATTCAAACATAGTTTGGTGGGATAATGAGGGCCTTCTAAAAAATGCATGGGCATCTCTTGAAACCCCATGTATTCTCCATTATCGAGATGCTCCTTCCTTCAATGTTTTGCTATTCTATGAAATGCTGTAGTGTCTAAGGACAATATCATGATGATTTCTAAGTATTACCATCATCCTGTAGTATATATAATTTTCCCTAAAGTGCTCAAGTTACAAATGTCAAGGCACACTGTAGTCTGACTTGGATTGTGTCTTTACATCAAAATAAACTCTAGCTGAGACCCATAAGGTCCTGGTCTAAAAAGAACCACTTCAAGGAAAATCCAAACCCCCTCCCAACATTCATTAGACCTTATCAAACATTGAAATAACACTATCACTTATTCAATTTCGATGTTTTTAATGAAGTCTGACTTCCCCTTAGCCAATTAATGAAATTGAATTAGCTAAAATGACACTATGATATTTAACCTGGTCCCTAAGGGCCTTGAGAAGGAAGGTTAATATTGCCTTATAAGGTAACATTACCTTACAAAATGTTAATTGATATTTTATCTAATAAATACAGGAATTGCCCTTAGGGAGTTGAAGAATGTGCAAATAAAGAGCGGTGTTATTGCACAGGGATGGAGGTGTTCTATTCTATATGTTAGCAATTACTGACTCATAGTGTTTCTACTGATAGAGCGACCGAGGATAAATATAGTTTTCAAATTACGTCTATAATGCCCTAGAATGTGCATGATTCCATCAAGGTCTTATTGCCTGTGAGTGTGAATGGTCAGTCATGGTTTGAAAAAAGTCATACTGTTTTGATATATTTTTTGCTTGAATAAATAGCTTGCTTTATACGTATGTAGACCCATGCAAATGCTGAGCTACCATATTGACCATTTTTTCATCATTAAATTTTACTGCCACAAATCAGTCAAGTACAGATCAAACACGAGGGACCAAATCCTCAGTGGCATTATAGGTGTCTCTTGACCAATGCTTCCTTGAGTATCTTACTCAATTTAAAATCTGTATTTCAAATATTTATTGATTAATAACAGCACCAAAACCAGTTATATTTTGTATACAGTGTTTGACCATTAGATCTTTTACTAACCTATTACATTTTTATTCAATAACAAAACATCTTTCTGAAAAATCTGGGCCAAAATTCTTCTTCACTTCCTTACACATACTTAGATTATATTTCTCAAAAAAGAACTTGGTAACCCAACACCTAATGAGTGTCTCCCCAAAAAACAGTCCTGGTCCATTGTGCTCTAATTGCTCATACTGAGCCACTTTTACCCTAGTCTGGTCTCTGAGGTAGTTTGTACTTACTCTGAGAGCCACCAAGCTATGAGCGACTGCCCGTCCCGTTCTCTTGTCACTGGTGTTGGCCTCTAAGTCTTCTATCCACTCATCTATCTGTTGACATACCTCTTCGCGTTTGTACCAGAAGTGTCGGTGGATAACCTGCAATACATAATGAAAGATATGAGGAGAGTTGACCCTAAGGAGTTGATGCAGGTAACACTTAGAGTTGACCCTAAGGAGTTGATGCAGGTAACACTTAGAGTTGACCCTAAGGAGTTGATGCAGGTAACACTTAGAGTTGACCCTAAAGAGTTGATGAAGGTAACACTTAGAGTTGACCCTAAAGAGTTGATGAAGGTAATACTTAGAGTTGACCCTAAGGAGTTGATGCAGGTAACACTTAGAGTTGACCCTAAGGAGTTGATGCAGGTAACACTTAGAGTTGACCCTAAGGAGTTGAGGCAGGTAACACTTAGAGTTGGCCCTAAGGAGTTGATGAAGGTAACACTTAGAGTTGACCCTAAGGAGTTGATGAAGGTAACACTTAGAGTTGAACCTAAGGAGTTGATGAAAGTAACACTTAGAGTTGACCCTAAGGAAGTAACCCTGAGGAGGTTACTAGTATCTTGAAGAGTTCAGCCTGAGGAGGTTACCTTGGGGAGGTTACCCTGAAAAATGACCATCGGGAGTTCTTAAGGAGGTAACCCTTTAGCCGTTGACCTTGATGAGTTCACCCTAAGGAGAGAGAGATGAGTCTTAAATTCAGGGATCTATGCTTAAGTTAAAACCATGGCTGACAAACATAAGCTTGCAAAAAGTTCATCGTCATATTAATAATTTCTATATTTTCTAATGTCCATTGCCATGTGTAAAAAGATTACTATAAATTGGCAATGAGTCATCCCTGAGTTTTAAGCATTGCTGCATTCCTTCACCAAAATAGTGAAAAGAAACAAGGCATGGAAAAGATAAATTGTGGTAGTAAATGTATACGATATATTGGTTTATCCCTAGAATGCTTTAATTATCATTTTCTTTAATGTTCGATGTCCCACAAGTTGTTATTCATTTCTTTCCATAGAAGTAGGTCAGTCAACAACCGTTGTAGAAATATGTCATGTTTACATTCTATAATACTCACAGGGTCCAACTATACACAAAGGCAACCGTTAATTTGAATTTTAGACGTACCAGATGTTTGAAAATCAAGGATTGTGAGTCTCATACTGCACATTTTAGCAGCATTTGAGTCTCAAGCTCCAGCTGTGCAGTTTGAGACTCACAATCCTTGATTTTCAAACACCTGGTAGGTCTAAAATTCAAATTAACAGTCATAGTTGGCACCGTGTGATACTATTAGTACATTTTATATGCAAATGGCACAACTTCTGTGGTCTATCATTAATACCACTACAAACATTGAATGCAAATTTTAAATGAATATTTTCTGTGATGATTTAATAATCATTCAATACAAATGATTTTTAATCTAATATATCACATCAAAAGTACAAATCGATTATTTAAGTATGTAAATGAAGCATTAACAGTTAAAAAATCTATAACATGGGATACTCTACGATCTAAAGGCATTTCAGTCGTAAATAACATATCCCGTAAACTCTATCGAGAGTAACAAAGAAAACTGTTCTATTATTGTCAATATTTACTCAATCAACAGCAATCAACAGAGACATTGCCATGGTTACAGAAACAGCTTACTACCGCATTCTTCTAAAAACTGCCAAAGATTTCCTGAATGCTTTAGTATTTAAGAGTCTAACCTAGATGCCCTACATTCCTCTTCCTATATTTGAGGAGACGTAAATATGATTACAATGCATTATCATGCAAAATGTCACCACCCGCCATTTGTTACAGACACCAACAGTCAAATGCCAAACACCAACTGCCAAACCTGCCACTTGTTACAAATGCCAAACACTAACTGCCAAACACCAACTACCGAACACCATCCATAAAAAAGTAACAATCTGTCACCACGTGTGGCGGTGACATAATAAAAAAAATGTGTTAAGTTGTTTATCTTAATCAGATCTCAACAATGTTAACAATATTAATTGCACGTATTAAAATGAGAAAATACAATAGGAGTCCATGATTTACATATGAATGGATTTCTACATTAGAAATTGAAGATAAGAAAAATCAATAGCAAGCAAAGGTCATTATGACATGACTGAAGTTGGAAAGAATGTATGGAGTCTAGCAATATTTTCCTTTCCGAGACAAACTGATAAAGAACATGGAATTCCATCAATTCTGAATTGAGTCAATAATTGTTATTTCAAGTTGAAAAAACAATTAGTTGAAATATGAACATGAAGAATGACAAATCTGAACACTATATGAACACTATATAACCTTGGGTGTACCAAATCAGATATGATTTCTAGCTATCATACAAATGAACCTAATCATATGATCCCTTTCTGGCCCGTTATCTTGCTTCTAATCTAAGAATGAAGTGGTGATTTTCGCAATTAATCATTTTCACCCCATGTACTCTCCCACAACAAAACAGTACGACCCAGTTGGAGATGGGGAAAAAATGAATCAATCACAACAAACAGTAACATCAAACAAACTCGTACATAACCAATGTATTTGAAGTTGAAAACCAAGATTACCTGATTTTGAAGCGCAAGGAACTAGTGGTAATTTGGAAAATATGTTTTCTCCGACAGATTTCCTGTCGAAGGTCAGTTTGACAACCAATCAAATTAAAGTACTCAGAGGAGTGGATTAAGGTCAGTTCGACAACCAATGAAATCAAAGTACTAAGAGGAGTGGACTATACATAGAGAAGTGCGGCTAATGATAGCAAGTGATTCACAGCATTAGATGATACATATTTTTAATTTTCATTTATTTTTACCAAAATAGCCGGATTAGACTAGATCCTTAACCTTCGAGGTTATGTATCTCAAATTCAAGATGACATTCCTTATTTGGGATATAGAATGGTGTTTTAATAACTTAAATATCATATTTCTTAATGATTTCTGTGATGGCTGATAGGCAATCAATGGATCAAGATTCTTCAGCATTTTTAGTTTTGTTTCATTTTTAAATAGAGGTTATTTAATGGGAAGTAAAATATGATATTGGCCAAGGAAAATATTGTATTGACAGAGGGCAATAGCCCGAGTATCAATTTGATATTTTCCAAGGACAATATCAAATGTTCTCAAAGCAAAATTAATATTCCACCATGACCATCTCTAACATATGGTGGTGATGTAAAATGATACAATTAAATTTAAAAATCGGGAGAAATTCCCTGGAATAGTTCTGAAATGGGATCTGATATGGGATTTTAGGAAAATCTAGTTTTTGAGATGTCATTACCTTCAGAGTGACATCTTAAAATCAATAGTATTTCCCTCATATTTTCAAATATAATATTCACTACAGTAAGCATGTGAAACAAAACTAAGTTATGAGGCCTAAAAGTTGATCTACATCCAAAAATCAATTTTTCTTCTCAGTTCTAATGATTTTCTAGGATGACAGGAACAATTTCTATGAAAAATAAAAATGAAAAGGAAGGCAACTATTTCAAATGTCAAAATTGAACATTAGTTCTGTGGCCTTTGTTTATGGACACTTGGGAAACCTTGCAATAGAATTTGAAGGAGCCAACAAGGGATCTATAAGATGAGCTGAGGATTACAGTGTTTCAAGCAGGAAAATGGGATGTGTGGTTTATTAAAAATATTGCTCTTAATGATTTATTTTACATGATATATTTTTTAAAGGAAGCCAAACTGTTGGATCTAATATTTTCCATCTTGTAAATTTTACTGATATATATTAAGAGTCACAATGCGGCAGTTGATATAACAGACATATAAACCGGACTCATCTCACGATGTAAAAAATATAAATGACTATCAATGTTGTCTCCTCGAGCCAGCAGTGCCTATTTAGAGACGGAAATGAATTTTTGGTACACTTTTATGGTTTTGATAATTTTGGGATAATTTGCACTGATATACCCCCTGTAAATATAACACTAGATAATTAATCATCATGCTACTATTTATTACTCTCGACATGTCATATTAGTTTGTATCATGTAAGTTTATATCTTTCATCAAATATAAATATTAATGGTAATACAATATGTTCTACTCGGTGTAACATAGCTTAAAATAATGAAAATATTTTCTCATTTGTTGAATATCAAAATGATTATTTCACGTAGGAAATTTCACAAATGAAATGAAAACATTAAAAGGCAGTCATATCTTTGACCAAGACTTATTTTGAAATATTTTCATTAATACAAAAACATATGTTATCTTCAAAGAAAAATATCAATCTGATTTTCCTAAAAACTATTATTTTCAAACTCAAATTTTAAAATTGATAAAAGATGTACGCCCTGCCCTACTTGTGAATTATACAATTGGCAACGTATATTAACTGATATAAGAATAAAACAAATATTTCATTCTATGTTTATACCTGTTATTTATTATTATTATATCTTGGTTACCACCATATTTGGCGAGCAATACCTCATTGGAATATTCCGTATTTTTACGTATTTTACACTCGAAGACAGAGCCAGAGACTCCTCCTTGGAGGAGCCCTGTGTTCTTTTGTGTGCACAGGTACACAGACATACAGGTACACACCACGGCCTTTTATATGAGTCGTGAACCACTCAGTCAAACACCCAGAATTACATAACGCACAAACAAACTTGTCTGAACTGGGAATCGAACCCGGGGCCAAGCGATATTGGTAACCTTGACTCTGCCACTGAGCCATAGCGGGTGTTGCATATTGAATTGCAAGACTAGTTGGTCTGGTTTTTAGGGCAATCTGTATATAAAATAAATAAACATTATTCCTACCTCCTTGAAACATGATTTAGTATTTTTGATTTGTTCTAGCATGGCCCACTTGACTGTAGCCTGGCGTATATTAGCGTCATATTCCCGTGAACTTGCATTTCCTGTGGGGGTGCCTCGTGACCTCTCATACCCAGGCTCGTTGAAGTAAGGCTCAGACACAAGGATCAGTGATTGTATGGACACAAGTACCTATGAGGATAGGAGTTAAACATTAAAATTTCACAGGGCATTAACATGCAAAATGTCACCACCTGCCATTTAATACAGACACCAAATGCAAACTGCCAAACACCTTTCACAAAGAAGTTGGTCAATTAGGTCAGCACTTCTGGTGGTGAAGACATAAAAGATACAGATATACTTAGTGAAAATAATATTAGCTAAGAGACAAAATCTGTCAATATATCTATGTATGCCCACTTAAATATTATAATTTAGGGAGGAGGTTGAAGTTGAAGTTCATAATATTTGATTAGTATTCATCAATCTTTATATAAATGACGAAAAATGTTCTATTATTACATCTATTGAAGGAGTGAGGGGGTTAATCTGCGCTGTAATAAATGACAATTTGAAACATCTAATATTGACATGGTCCAATGAGTAAATGATCAACAATTTACGACTTGGAAACCTTGTACATGTGTATATCTATGTACAGTAGAGATCTTCTATTATTACATCAATTGAGGAGTGAGGGGGTTAATCTGTAGTAATAAAAAACATTTTTGGAACATCAAATATTGACATAGTCGCATCAGTAAAATGATCAACAATTTATGACTAGGAGGACTTGTACATATTGTCAGGTTTCATATTTCAACCTCATACTATTTTTATTCATTGATGTGGGCAGGTCAATAGGGAAATATATGTATGGCAGTTACATATATGGACTACGGAGGCAAAGGAAAGCGGAGAATAGATACCTAGCAATGATGTCATTCAATTTTTTTTAATAAATTAGATTAATTATCCTCTCGGTTCAAGTTTTACTCCACATTTTTCTTCGTTTTCATCCCTGAGCAATGTTATAGTCATACAACGTAATATACTGAACATCAATGTAATGTTTCTAAATGTTAAATACATGTACTGTAGACTTGAATGATTGTAGGAAGATATTCTAGAGTATGTGTGTTTATATGCTATATTCCTATAGAAAGCTCAATGTTTGTGAATTCATGTGTTGAAACATTGATGTAGAAAGTTATATATTTGAAAATGAAAACATATCTAAATGTTATATACCTGTAGAAAGCTGGATGTTTGAGAGTTCCACTTCTCTTCTGGGCGACCATGCCATGTATTGAGAACACTCAGGCAAACCTATATAAAAACAAACAAAATAGCAATAAAAATAAACAAATTAAATAATAATATAGCATTAGCATATAAAAACATTTGAAGAACTTGGTGCAATGTCATAATATCAACAGTTTTGAACAAGACAAACATTGATAAAATCACACTTTAAAGAGCAAAATGGCCACCATGTAATTTAGCCAACATGCCCCAAACCTAACCAGATCCTGGCACTAGTCATCACACCTACACACCATGTAATTTAGCCAACATGCCCAAAACCTAATCAGATCTTGGCACTAGTCATCACTCTTACACACCATGTAATTTAGCCAACATGCCCAAAACCTAATCAGATCTTGGCACTAGTCATCACTCTTACACATGTCAAAATTTGAAGTTGGACAGCTAGAATTTTGATGACAAGATTTAAGAAGCATTTGCCAAATCACCAGGCATCACTCAATGATGACAAGGACAATAAAGCAAGTCTGAAAAGTGTGATAAAGACACACATAGCCTCAAGCTTCTTCAATATTGTGGAACATTGTTGTTTTGCATAAAAAAGACCATTATCTCACTCACAAAACAATTACTTGTTACAAAGTCGAATAACTTCATCCCTATTTCTAACCACCCAACTCTGAAATTGAGAAATTCCAAGAATCTGACTTGTCCTCAGCCTATTTCCTTATATTAGCCTTCCTTCTAAGATGAAAAACTAGTCATTTGGTAATAACATGTTTTGCAATAAATCGACAACAACAATGATAAACTCAGTTATTAAAGATAATCATACCCTATAATTTCATCACTCAAGTAACCATTAGTGGTATGAAAACAATCTGCAATTTTCAATTTCCATTAATATATTACTAGATGGTGACACAGCTTGATAATATGAATGATATGTAATCTAGAAGACCTCTTAAAAGTACAAAAGTTCTATGTCCTATATTTATTTCTCTTGAAATTAAAACCAAGTTACGTAAAATCTACAACAAAAAAACCTGAAACAAACACAAAATGTCAAATTCTAAATGCAGGTCATAAAAATTGGTAGTTTTAAGGCTATCAAAAACTAGAGAGCAATCTCAAATGTAAATAGCGATTAGTGACAAATAAAAAGATGTCAACAAGATCAAAGACAACAAGATCAAATTTTTCTCAAGGATGAATCTACTATGAATCATTACAACATTTACACTCCTGCAAAAAAGTAGCCTAGGATCCAAAATAATTGTATCAACATCTAGCATGCTCCAAACTAAGAACGAACATTTGTTTGGAAGTATGAGGGTTCTAAGCAAGTTTTAGAATGTTCAACCCAGAATGCCTTTATGGTTAAAAATATAAGATTATTACTAAATGGCGAGTAAATGAAGAATATTATCTTGAAGTAGATTTTTAATATTTAATTTATCTGAGTATGACATCTAATTGGTTACTGTATAGTAGACCACAAGGCATTAACATGCAAAATGTCACCACCTGCCATTTGTTACAGACACCAAACTCTGAACCTCAAACGCAAACCACCGTCACAAAAACAATATGTCACTTCTTTTAGTGGTAACACAATAAGCTAAAATAATAATGTGGGTATTATACATTTATTTTCATAAAGAAATATTTGATTACTATGAGATAAAGGTATACTTTATAAGACTTTTTGGAATTTTTTTCCATATGACTTTATTTCAGTGTATCAATTAATGTTTTTCTTTGGAAAGTTTCCCTCTATCTATCACTGGTCCACGGTCTACCAAAGCACCATACCTCAAGCTCAAAACTATTAGTTCATGTAATAACAGTCTAGTGGTAAAAATCAGGCTAGATGTGATATTGATATTTTATGTGATATTGATATTTAATGTGATATTGATATTTTATGTGATATGATATATTATTGAGATTGAAATTCATAGTTCAAGTGATGCCCATTCATCAGAACTTTCTGGTTGAAACTGTTTTTCATATTTCATAACTGTTTCATTTCATAATATTTTCACCGCAACACCGCAGAATTAACTCAAAGACTCCATTGCTTGATGCCTACTCTCTTCATTATATGGAAAGTTTACAAATATGGCTTATATGATCCAGGAAAGTATTAGATTAAGGAGAATAATCAATTTCATCAAGACAATTTCATAAACTAATCAGAACTATATCCTATATCTCAAATTATGTCACACATTACATATTAGCCTTATACAACATGAGAGGATGACATCACTGGTCACAATGCCTCACATGTGCACCAATGAACTTATATATATAACATATATATATATAAGGCATTAACATTCAAAATGTCACCACCTGCCATTTGTCACAAATGCCGACCACTGAATGCTGAACAACATCTACAAGAAGGTCAGCACTTTTGATGGTGATATAAGAGTATCTTAGACCTAGTTTAACCAAGAAAAGATAACCTAAATTGGTCTTAATGTGCCCATAATATGCACATTACTTTTTTGATTACAATGCACTTTCTGTTTCCTAGAAGTCACTTCAATTCTAATGTGCTGTGACATAAATAATCTCGAGATTAAGTAAAGTATGCTTCTAAACTGCTAGGGGGCAACTAATCAATGCTCTCCTGAGCAAATTCCATTCAAAGGCTGTAAATGACCTACATATTAGATCCACTCCCATTTTTGTTTCAACTTATGGACACTAGATATCACATGTGAATGTAAAAGGGCCATAACTCTGACCCAATATAAAAAATGGCGACTTTCCCGTGTTCTATGCGCAGGTGCGTTCAATCCAGCAATTTGATTAGTTCATATTATATGAACGCATGCGCAATAACTACACATATATTTTTAGATAGATGTCACTTGCGTTCATTATTTCACAGCAGTCCCTTTCCATGATGCACCTAATATTGCAGAAATATTTTCATTAAGTGATAAAACAAATAACTCTCATCTTCGAAATACGTTTTCCATTCCTCATTGGCAATAATCTTTCATTTGGTATCTAAGTATAACCGAACCAACCGCCGAAAAGTAATTCGAATCCTTCTGAATTGTGGGAATGAAATACTTTCATTTTTGCGCATGCGCTGCGCATGCGCTGCGCATGCGCATAGAACACGGGAAAGTCGCCATTTTTCAACTTTCAGTTTCGAAACTTAATTTCATGCATCTTTTTGCATATAGCAGTCGTTATAGGCTGTCCTTCGTTAAAAATAATATACGGGAATAAACCTAAGGAAACAAACAACTCTAGGAACTACCATTTTTTAACAGTGGACGTGTCTTTGGGAAGAAATCGACTCTGGAGCTAACAATTTGAGGGTGAAAATTGTCGTGTTTTGCATTTTCAATTAAATTTAATCACTTCCTTACATGTTCTTCACACATCTCAGCAACTAGTTGATTGATTGCTACCATTTTAGGTAAGTTTACTCTGTAGTGTTGTTTGAATCAGCATGTCGATTATTGAAAGGATTCCATATATTTTTACTTGATATATCTAACAACTTATAAACAATCATTTTCTACAAATTTCAGGTAGCATCAGAACCGACCACCCTTTTTACTATTAATAAGCAGTAGACTCATCGGAGGGCTTGCCCGACGCCTCCAGACAAGCCCCTGTGAATATAACAGGCAGGCCCGTAGCCAGGGGGGTTCGATGTGTTTGAGCAAAATCATGCAGTTATTAACCATTCTGAGCACTTTTTAAGAGATTTTGGCCATTTTTGGACCAAAATTGTCACAAGTGAGCCCCCCTGGAATTTTTTTTCTGGTCACAGCCAAGAAAACGCATGGCATTTACATGCAAAATGTCACCACCTGCCATTTGCTACAAACTCCACTTCTGGCAGTGACATAAAAACTGAAAATAAATATTTTAAGTGTTTCTAAAGGTGAAATTTTCTGAACTCAGGAATGAACAATGTGAACCAGATGAATAGATACAACAAGGGTATATGAGATAAACAGACCTTCCTAATAGTCGGTTCAGATTATAGGGATAATCCCTTGGTCAATATAATATATCTACCCTAAGAACCTACTGCCCTTGGGCAGTTATATTGGCCTTGGGGATAATCAAAATATCTCGGACCACATATGCAGAGTTGGAGTCATGTAACTGTAAATTGACTTATGAACAAAATGCACTACATTCAACTAAACATGCATTAAAGGAAAGGTTTATTAAGTAGTGATGGCGATATAATTGGAATAAATACACAAAAGCATTTCTGCTTGGAAAAAACTGCTAATTTTAGGGACATCCAATGTATTCATGTTATATACAATATAAAATGAATTTAATGAATACTGAACGACACATGACACCTTAGCTACCATGACGTTATAACACGCACAGACATGCATCAGATTACATTTCTACAGAACTAATAGTCAGATTAAGTTTACATGATCTTTAATAAGCTAATATAACAAGACACTCATCTCTCTTGAACATTGATGTGAAACTAGTACAAACTCAAGTTCAATGTTTTTCTATGATGAAACCAAACCTTCCTTTTTACTCCTTCTCTACCAAGCAATTGATTAGTCAAAATTTGATATTTTGACATATGTTGTATATCAATATGAAGGGCACTGCTTTAAATGGTAACACATACCTTGCCATCATTGTATAGATAAATGGTAACACATACCTTGCCATCATTGTATAGATAAATGGTAACACATACCTTGAAATCATTGTATAGATAAATGGTAACACATACCTTGCCATCATTGTATAGATAAATGGTAACACATACCTTGCCATCATTGTATAGATAAATGGTAACACATACCTTGCCATCATTGTATAGATAAATGGTAACACATACCTTCGACATTGTATAGATAAATAGTAACACATACCTTGCCATCAGTGTATAGATAAATGGTAACACATACATTGCCATTATACTATAGATAAATGGTAACATATACCTTACCATCATTGTATAGATAAATAGTAACACATACCTTGCCATCATTGTATAGATAAATGGTAACACATACCTTGTCATCATTGTATAGATAAATGGTCACACATACCTTGCCATCATTGTATAGATTAGGGTTGAACCGTATTGAATGGTTGCCTGTGGTCTCCAAGTTGATGAGAGGAGGTGAGTTGGGGTAGTCTTGGGGAAAGAATACATCAAACTCAAAGCATCCATTGGCATATGGGGTATCTACTGGACCTGTGATTAACACCTGCAATATAGGGACGAGAAAGATTATTTAATATCTATTATTTCCCAGCACTTGTTGTCGGTGTTGTGGTTACACAAATGCACTCTACAGACAATTACGTGAGTGCTGCCAACTCGATAAATAGTTTCATCTATAAGCTGAACAAAACAATTTTTCTACGGGAAAATGCCATGACTGGGAAAATTTATTTCTACTTTCCAGATTTGATGCACCAAAAATATTTTTCATTACTCAAAGAGGTTATTTTTCTATTCGGAACAAGGTTAATCAAAATACCCAATACTGTGGCCGCTTCAACGCTATGCTAAATTATGATGTTAACAAATCACTAATTCTGAATGATCTACCTTGATATGATGTGATAAAATGTGATGAAACATTATTATTTTTCATAAAGAATTGCAAAATGTGCGAAGGAATGAAAAACATTTAATTTATCTTTAATGGCCTTGTGAATAAAAGAGAATTCATATGTATTCAGGATCGTATTTCCAAAGTGAAAATTAGGCCTGGCGCCTTAATGATTAACAATGTGGATGAAGTTTCACATTTGAATCATTTATCACTTCTTTGTACTGTATATGTAGTTTTGAAACATGAAATGAAACTATAAATTAGCAACTCCACAGAGTAGCAAATCCCAATGAACACTATATTCATGAATCTGTAAATGTCACAATGTAATATTTACCATTTACTCTACCCTTGGTTAAATTGGCAGGTATTAAAAGACACACTGTATCAGAATTTCCACCCATTTAAGCATTTGGGTGACCATTCAGTCAAAGGTACAATATTTGAGATCTAATATAGTATGATGTAACCATACTTTGATGAGGCCTTGAAGTAATAATAGCACTTGGCAGCCATTTTGAATTTTCTGAGTCATGAATCAGAAAAACAATACCATACTTGTGATCTACTCTAAATTTCATTCAATTTGAGTACAATGTAGCCATATTTTGAATAGATCTGGAAATTATTGCATAATCACACATTCGGCAGCCATTTTAAATTTAAGAGGCCCAAATCAGAAAAATTATACAATATTTGCAATCAACTCTAAATTACCTTTCATTTGAGTATAATAAAGCTATACTTCAGAAAGATCTCAAAATTAACAAAAATTCCTGTTTTCCTGATTCATGGCTCCTGGTGGTCAGGCTGCCAAACACAGAATAAATGTGGAAAAGATAGATTTTGTGAAAATACTATCAAAATTTCAAACAATAATATTTATTATTGGGAAAAATTCCAGCCACTTTTAAAGTGACGACCATCTTGAAAAAATTATTTTGCGTAAAACTTCACATATTATACAAATATGAAAAAAATCCGGACGGACTGACTGATGGCTTCCCTATATCCCTACTGTACTTAGTTCGTTGGGATTATACATGTGCTTAGATGTACTTTTAAAACATGAAATGAAATCATGCTATGAAATTATGTCTATAAATGGCAACACATGTACTTACATATACTTTTGAAAAAATGAAATCATGTCACGAAATTATGTCTATACATGATAATTCATGTCCTAATATGAAACAGGAAGGAAAGATGCAGAATGTAACCACAGAATCAAATAATCGAGGCACTGGGTGATGTGGATAATTGTTTCAAAGAAGATAATTTTACAAAACGAATGATTTGCCTCGTAGATGGATAAATGGATGACATTAGTGGCTTTGCTCAGACTAAATAATAATATTAATAGTAAGAAAAATCACATTTCTTGATTCATCGTCCAATTTAATTAAAGTAAAATTATATTGGCCTGTAGCTGGAATATATCAAAATTAAAATGTGCCCCTTAAAAGAGTAAATCAACTTTTAACGATTTTTAAACACTGTGTCAATGGAGATTTATCATCAACTATTGATATCAAGAGAAACTGAACACAGGAAAATAAGTAAACAACATAACTTTAAGTTCTGATAAAAAATTGTGTTCATGTATGAAATAGAAGAAATTTTATCCTAAAAGGAATTTCATGGAAACACTAAGTAATAATACTGTAATCAATAATCATGTGATACTAGGCATGTTATACAGTACTTACTTTCATAATGTCCAGTCTCTCCTCGTCACATCTGACGAAGACACTACTGCTGTAGGAGAGAGGAAGCGACGTAGAGAGTGTGACGGCCTCCTGGGCAAGACGACGTGACCGTGCTGCGTTATTTACAGTACCTGCTGCTTTAACATTTGGCTGGTAATGGTGGGGTGTGACAAATTTAAGCGCCCCACTGTCATCATCTGTCACCATCTCACACGTATCTGGAGTTAAACAGTAACATTTGTTTTTTAAATTGTATAGTGGCTGGCGTCGGCAAGACAGCACATTTGGTTCGACCAATAAGGTTGAAGTTAGGTTAAGGTCAGTTATGATTAATAGTGGGCTGAACTGGTGGTGACTGCGGGTATAACTGGAAGCGTATTACTTGCAGACAAAAATTCAATTAAACTTTTGGTCAATTAAAATAGAGCAACATCTTACATACTTAGATCAAAGGTTAAAATCCAGCTGTAAAATATAAGTACAGAATAATTCATTTACCAAACTGTAGTTCTTTGATTGTAGTCAGATATCTTTGATCAAGTGAAACATCAGCACTCGATGCTCCCTTGGCATCTGACTCATCTGAATCATCCATGTCCGACTCAGACTTTTTGCGACATTTCTCGGAAGAAGCATAAACAATATTTGCCGTCTGCTGAATATCAGGAATCAGCAGAGCTAGCCCTTCATTCTCATCATCCTCTTCTTTCCCATCTTTTCCTTTCTTACTATTACCACCCCTGAAAAAATGTTAATTCAACATTAAACAGAAATGCACAAATAATTCACTTAATAGTTTTTGTAGTCAATTCTCATGTTTAGAAAATGTGCTTCAATTTTAATCTTCTGATGTTGGCAGTGTTTGTATCACAGTTTTTAACTACATAATAGTTAACAACATTTGAACATCAATGTAATATTTTATATGTGTTGCCTCTTACTTGAGCCTGCTTGCATATGTATCCACACATCCCTTCATTTTCATCAGCAGACTGGCAATAGATGTCGAGTTGTCACTAGCAACATCATCCAGGGGAAGGAGGAGGGGCACAAGGACTGTGCAAGATGATATCGCTCTTAGCAACTCTAGTAAGGCTCGGTACAGGGGAACATGGCGGGCCATGTCTAACACTACAAATACAAGTTCAAATTTTCTATACATTGTTCTCCACAAAAGTATGTCTAAATTCTAGTGCAAAACAGTGAGCCTCTTATGAATATTAACTAAATCCAAAAGGTAAAAGTTAAAAGTCTGTGTTTATTGCAAGCTCAAACTGCCATACAAATAAACACATTCATTGATTTGTGTAAATTACAATCAATTTTTAGTCTCACCAGAGTCATTCCTGAGGTATGAGGATATGGCTGGCACCAGGCACGATTGAGATAGCAACTCTGGTAGGTTGTCAGGGATACCAGAGTTCTCAGAGTGACCCACAGGTTCTCGTCCTACCTCCGCAGACTTTGTCTCATCTGTTTGGGGCCACACATAACTAGCAAAAACCTGCAAGCGAAACATAACAAATATCATAAAAGATACTAGAAATATGGGTGAATTGAGGGGCTTGTGTACGGGATGAGTACCACTAAAATCATAGAATTTTGCAAACTCCATTATTTTTCCCGTGTGTTAGTGCTGTTAGTTCTGCATCTTATATCCAACAGCTCCTTTCCCGAAAACTCTTGATCCCCTCAATTGATTTTAACTGGCTTTATAAATCTCAATAAATAGGCACCCAGTGTTAATCTCAAAGCAAAACCTGACAAGATAGACTCAACAATGTTCAACAAAAAATATCATCTCATATGAAATAAACAGCACACTTACCTGTAAAAGACATGTAACATGTTCCTCTTCGCTGCGCTGTCTCAACAAGGCTTGTTCGGCGTCCCAGCTGGAGCTAGTAGAACCAGTGCCGAACCCTGTCCCCTTGGCCCAGTAATGCTGTCCCTTCTCCAGCTCTGGCTTGTTGGTAGGAGCTCCATTATTATTAGATACAGTCATTGCAGCTTGTGTAGCAGCGAGGATAATCTATGTAATCAAACAAATTTCCATGTTACATAGACTGACATGTTTAAGAGTCAATAAAAGATATGTATACAGTAGAATTGTTAAGATTAAACCCTGCGCTAGGGCGGTGGGAATAGGTCTCTTTAACCCAATGGGACTTGAGAATCTATCTCCAGATAACATACATTTACTACAATATGATGCTAGATTTAAATTCAGAGGGAAATCTTTTCCAATGTCCAGGCGTTGCTATTTAGCATTACATTGTATGAATCTCTGAACCAATGGATATGAAACTTTAGTGGACATAACAGAATTTCTACAATGTTAATCAAAGTTCAATACATACACAAGGGCTTGATACAAGACTTCACTAACCTCTTGATGGAATCCAGGTATAGGAGTCCTGGGTCCCTGGTGACTAAGGACTGACAGGCAAGCTAGGATTAGATGAAGAGCCCCTATGTCCAGTGCCATACGCCTCAGCAGCACCCCGTCATCCGTTGTCAATGGAGACGTGTCAAACAAAGTCTTAAGGACGTGGAATGGTAACGTTGGTAAGGAAGTAGCTATGGGAGAGCTCAGTATGTGGCCTGAAATAGATAGGACACTGACAGTTCAAGATGTTTCTTGTTGATGAAAAAACAATATGTGGTAAACCAAAGAAGTTGAATGACACATCCCTGCACTGTTTTTCAACACGCTGCATATTAAAGTCCTTTTAAACAGGCTGTGTCTTACAGGACTTCAGAATGACTGCAAAAACTGATTTTTGACCAAATTGCCATGGTATTTTTTTGGCTCTAGGCTTTTAGGCCAGTAAATATGTGATGTCACACACCCACACTCTGTAGGTAACCTTTATTTCTTGAAATAACATTGAAGCTATTATCTCACCTCCATCCCCATCATCTGTGACTCCCAGAACTAGTCTAAGTAAACACTGTGCCTTCTTCCGTTCCTTAAGAAGCACATCAGCATAGCCAGGGAGCCTCAGGAACAGACCAAACGCCACCAAGCTGTGAGGTGGAATCGTTGGCAGTGTCGGTGTAGCGTGCCTCGTTGTTTTAGCATGAGTGCTCGTAGGTATGGGTTCATAAATCTCCTCATAGATGTCATCTGATGATTCCACGGTGACCCAGTCGCTCCCAGGTACAGTGCTGCCACCTACTTCCTTGCTGGAGTTAGGCGGGCTGACCTGGCGGGTAATCTCAGGGTAAAGTAAAGGAAGATGCTCTGCTAAGAGGGCAAGGCCCCCTAGACTGGCAAACACCTGTAGGGGAGAGGCAAAGGGTGTGGTGTCTAACAGGACTGAGTCTGGTATAGGTTCCTGATCAGAGTCACTCAATTCACTTGAATCACTGCTTGAAGGTGTTTCTGAAATAACACACAATTATATATAGCGCTTTATTGGTATTCTGATCATATACAGGGTGTCTCGCAATGACCTTCTCTAAATAACAACCAATCCTAGATAGCATACCCGTCTATGTCGAGGGTGTTACTTAAATGATATACAACTAGAAAAACAGCAACTCCACGGAGTAGCAAATCCCACCGAACAAAACATGTTTTGATAAATACTGGTATTTGAATTATCAAAATTAATCATGGTTGCCATTTTGAAATTCAGCTGTCATATTTAAATTTCTTCCTTAGCAGAGCTCCTATGTCCCAAGGCATCATCATATTCAATTTAATCCAAATCCGTCAACTGGTACTTGGGTTATCAAGGATAATGATTACATGTTTAATGAAAAATGGCGGAGATTTCGATAAATAGCAGCCACCTTGAAAATTTCTTCTCAAGCAGAACTCCTTTATCTCTAGGCATCAGAATATAAAATTTGAAGTAAATCCGTCCAATGGTATTTGAGTTATCAAAGATTAACTTTTTCTATGAAAAATGCCAGCCATTTTGAAATTCAGCTGATTCCTTTGAAATTTCTTCTAAAGCAGATCTCCTTTTTCCCTAAATATCAGCATGTTATTGGAATCAAATCCATCCACTGGTATTTGAGTTATTAATGATTACGTGTTTTTTTTACGAAAAATGGCGGCCATTTTGAAATTCAGTGGCCATCTTGAAAATATTTTCTTGAGTAGAACTTCTTTGTCTCTAGGCATCAGCATATAGAACTTGAACTAAACCCATCAACTGGTATTTGAGTTATCAAAGGTTACGTTCTTTTATGAAAAATGGTGGCCATTTTGAAATTTAGCTGCCATCTTGAAAATCCCTTCTCGAGCAGAGCTCCTATGTCCCTAGGCATCAGCATGTAAAATTTGAACCAAATCCATTTGATGGTATTTGAGTTATCAAACATAACGTTTTTTACAAAAAAAATGGCCGCCATTTTGAAATATGGTGGCCATCTTGAAAATGTCTTCTTGAGCAAGGCTCCTTTGTACCCAAGCAACGGCATATAAAATTTGAACCAAATCCATCCACTCGTAATTGAGTTATCAAAGATAGTATTTTTTCCGAAAAATGGCCGCCATTTTTAAACATGGTGGCCATCTTGAAAATGTCTTCTTGAGCAAGGCTCCTTTGTACTCAGGCAACAGCATATAAAATTTGAACCAAATCCATCCACTAGTATTTGAGTTATCAAAGATTATATTTTTTCGGAAAAATGGCCGCCATTTTGAATTTGGTGGCCATATTGAAAATTCCTTCTCGAGCAGAGGTCCTACACCCATAAGGCATAAGCCTATAAAATTTGAATAAAATCTGTCAACCGGTATTTGAGTTATTGCCCGGACACACGAACGGACGGACGGAGGAACGGACGGACGGACGAACGGACGGACGGACGGCTTTTCTATATCCCCCTCGAACTTCGTTCGGTGGGATAATTAATTTTACTTTATTGCCATTCTGAATATATCCATGATATTTCATCATTAACTTCCCCGTCAACCACAAATCCTAGATTTCTCTTGAATTTCAATGTTAAGTAATGATCATTTTTTAAGTTACATTTTTTCTTTTCAAGATGTTTTAGATTTTGACATATTTCTCATAGAACTCTGTCGTTACTTTCAAATTCAACATTTCAAAAGAGGTTGTAGGTTCAATTTCTGATTCTTGAACTGAAATATTCTGAAAAATACATCAATACATATAGTTCTACTCACCAGGATCTAAGGAAGATTTTCCACGCTTTGATTTCAATTTGAGTGCAAAGTCAAGGCACATGGAGCCTTGTGGGTGACCCTTGTTGTGTAGAAGGGTGAGCAACTGGGCTAGGGTAAGATCAGAAGGCAGGTGTTGACCTAGAATAGAAATACATAATATGATACCAAGTAGAAGTCATATGTAACCTAAATGTACTTAACCTATCTACTCTAGGTGTTGAACTAGAATAAAAATACACAATATGATACCAAGTAGAAGTCATATGTAACCTAAATGTACTTAACCTATCTACTCTAGGTGTTGACCTAGAATAGAAATACACAATATGATACCAAGTAGAAGTCATATGTAACCTAAATGTACTAAACCTATCCACTCTAGGTGTTGAACTAGAATAGAAATACACAATGTGATACCAAGTAAAAGTCATATGTAACCTAAATGTACTAAACCTATCTAGGTGTTGAACTAGAATAGAAATACACAATATGATACCAAGTAGAAGTCATATGTAACCTAAATGTACTTAACCTATCTAGGTGTTGACCTAGAATAGAAATACACAATATGATACCAAGTAGAAGTCATATGTAACCTAAATGTACTTAACCTATCTAGGTGTTGAACTAGAATAGAAATACACAATATGATACCAAGTAGAAGTCATATGTAACCTAAATGTACTGAACCTATCTAGGTGTTGAACTAGAATAGAAATACACAATATGATACCAAGTAGAAGTCATATGTAACCTAAATGTACTTAACCTATCTACTCTAGGTGTTGAACTAGAATAGAAATACACAATATGATACCAAGTAGAAGTCATATGTAACCTAAATGTACTTAACCTATCTAGGTGTTGAACTAGAATAGAAATACACAATATGATACCAAGTAGAAGTCATATGTAACCTAAATGTACTTAACCTATCTAGGTGTTGAACTAGAATAGAAATACACAATATGATACCAAGTAGAAGTCATATGTAACCTAAATGTACTTAACCTATCTACTCTAGGTGTTGAACTAGAATAGAAATACACAATATGATACCAAGTAGAAGTCATATGTAACCTAAATGTACTAAACCTATCTACTCTAGGTGCTGAACTAGAATAGAAATACACAATATGATACCAAGTAGAAGTCATATGTAACCTAAATGTACTTAACCTATCTAATCTAGGTGTTGAACTAGAATAGAAATACACAATGTGATACCAAGTAGAAGTCATATGTAACCTAAATGTACTTAACCTATCTAATCTAGGTGTTGAACTAGAATAGAAATACACAATATGATACCAAGTAGAAGTCATATGTAACCTAAATGTACTTAACCTATCTAATCTAGGTGCTGAACTAGAATAGAAATACACAATATGATACCAAGTAGAAGTCATATGTAACCTAAATGTACTAAACCTATCTACTCTAGGTGCTGAACTAGAATAGAAATACACAATATGATACCAAGTAGAAGTCATATGTAACCTAAATGTACTTAACCTATCTAATCTAGGTGTTGAACTAGAATAGAAATACACAATGTGATACCAAGTAGAAGTCATATGTAACCTAAATGTACTTAACCTATCTACTCTAGGTGTTGAACTAGAATAGAAATACACAATGTGATACCAAGTAAAAGTCATATGTAACCTAAATGTACTTAACCTATCTACTCTAGGTGTTGAACTAGAATAGAAATACACAATGTGATACCAAGTAGAAGTCATATGTAACCTAAATGTACTTAACCTGTCTACTCTAGGTGTTGACCTAGAATAGAAATACACAAAATGATACCAAGTAGAAGTCATATGTAACCTAAATGTACTAAATCTACCTACTCTAGGTGCTGAACTAGAATAGAAATACACAATATGATACCAAGTAGAAGTCATATGTAACCTAAATGTACTTAACCTATCTACTCTAGGTGTTGGCCTAGAATAGAAATACACAAAATGATACCAAGTAGAAGTCATATGTAACCTAAATGTACTAAACCTATCTACTCTAGGTGCTGAACTAGAATTGAAATACACAATATGCTACTATATATGATACAAGTACAAGTCATGTCTAACCTGAATGTATTACCCTTTGAAAATGTTTGATTTGGCATCTCAAAAAGGGACTCATCTACAAATTCACCAAATATTTATCGGATTAGTAATCCAAGATTTATCCCAAAAGATAAAATCTATCCGGATTGGATTGGGAATCGTATGAATTCACGGCCCCTGATGTCTATCTTACATAATCATTACAAAGTTTTTGACATGATGCTTTACTTTGAAAACACTATTAACATTTTGTTTTGATTACTCAGTAAATGTGGATTCATTCTTAGATCATCAATGTGAAGTTGGAGCAACTGAAACCTTGTGAATCAACATGCTGATTGACAATAATATTATTCCTAGAAATCATTTCTAATATAAACATGTGTCTCGTATCTCTGCACTAAGTGCACTTGACTATTAATGAAATATGACATTCACATACTTAAAATGTAATTTGAGAACAATTCCCATTACAAGAAAAACAGACAAATTGGAAACAGGATTCGGAGAAGATGCAACCACTGAGTAATAAATCCCAAGGAAAGGTATATTTACAGTTATCATTATATTATGACTACTGTCATAAGATTCTCACTTAACAAATATTTCGTTGGTTGAAATTGAAACAGTTAGGCTTTTGCAAAAACATTTTCACATTTTCAAAACATGAACTATTTACAATTCAAACATGACGGTATCCATGCCTTGTATAAATCATGAACAAAGTCAATATTCCACCCGGTATGTAATCGTCGACACTGCACGTGGTAATATGAGTAATGTGTGACGTCATAAAAGCGGGCTGTAGTAATGGTGGGCCATAATGAATATTCTAAAAATTTTGATAAGTTTTCATGTTTGAATCGTGATATAGAGAAGGTCCTTTGGGTACAGAAAACGTTTGTGCCTTGCCCTGCAAGATGTACTCGTCGATGTAACATTTGATCTTTGGTCTATATTCTTAAATAAACTTCTTTACACCAAATATGACGGAAAATCTGACAGCTAATGTTTGACTGGTAGACTTGACAAACTGAAGGATCATTCATTGGCATTGTAAAACGTGACTTAAATTTGATCCTTTGTAATTGTGTTGCGGTTTCCTTCGCAATTACACATCTAAAGCATTATTAAACTTTTTAAATGTAATTTGATCAAAAAGACTTTTAGTTTATGCATTATAAAACATGAGTAAAATTTGATCCTTTGTAATTTTGTTGCGGTTTCCTTTGATATGCATTGTGTGTCAGGCTGAGCATGTGTCGAACTAATTCGTTCTAAAATAACCTAGGAGGTTATCACTTTCCAATTTCTTTTTTCCCAAGGTTGTCTTGAACTTTTATACAATATTAAAACAGGTGACATTACCTGGCAACAATTTATGACATAGAGAAAGTACAGGGATCTGTAGTGCATCTGTGAGTCGACTGCCATCCAGGACTGAGTGGCGCCCTCTACGTGTTGGAGGTCTCGGTGGTAAGTTTGGAGCATCCTTTGTTTTATCTCGCTTCTCTTTGGCGTGAATACCTGCAAAATATTGTATAATATATCAGAGTGTACAATTTACAATTTCAATTAGGTTGTTTCTCCCCCCAAAATGTAAATGAAAATCTTTTGATTTTTCTCATATTAAAAATCATATTATTTCTGAAAAAATACGTTAAGAATCAAAAATTGATGCATGCTAACAAAATCTCATGGACCTTACAATTATACCACCAACCAAAAGTAAACAAAAAATAATAATTACGTGTACCTTGTAAATGTGTATACAGTATGGCTACATGTACATAGGTTTGCAATGATATTTTGACCTTTTCCCCGAAGAATAACATGCTCATGTACATGGCACCATTATGATGACTATATCCCTCTATTAATGGGGTGATTATAATACATAATGGAGCTATGATTGTCCCACATACCTGCTGCAGCTGAAAGGTTCTCCACAATCTCTATACCAAGTTCGTTACTGCTGGCTGTCTCTTCTGAAGGGGACTTCTTCTCTTTGGATGCCTCAACAAGTGGGTTAGGTAAAGATGGGGCATCTGATAGCTTTGCTAAAGTCTCAGCACATGTGCTTTGTAGACTGATATAGTGATTCTTGTATCTGTGGCCTGTACCAAACTTGGGGTGTTGTATTAGACTAGAAGCCGGGCCGCCTGAACCACGACGGCTCGTGGCCCTGGATGATGTACGAACACACACCAGGATCTTCTCATCTTCTAAGAGGACTTGTAGGAATAACCTCCTAGTGAACCCAGATAGGTGAGCCTGGCCCCACTGTCCATCTGGAACAATGCATTCAGGGTTAGAAATATTAGCATTAAACCATATATTTCTTTTACTATGCAACTACCTATCATGATGGAAAAACAACTCTCCAAAATGTACAAAGATACAGGTGCAAAAATCGTTGATACATAGGAAAACAGAAAACATAAGGATCCAATGCTTGGAGCGATGAATTGAAAACTTACTGGATGGTGCTATCTTCTGGGCTCTAATGACATCACAGAGTACCTGAGCAAACAGCATCTGATTGGCTGTGTGGCAGGAGATGACGCTGGAGAAGAAGGCAATTGCCGAGGTTTCTATAGATGACCTCTGCTGGCTGGACAGCACCTAAAAGGAGAATGGCAATCTTCTGGTAATCAAATCACATCATTTAAACAGCACAATTTGACTCCTATTCTGCAAGGAGAATGGGTCTCTTCTAGTCATCAAGTTACTCTTAGTTTTCAATGTTTCAACAAAGCATGATTAGACTCCTATTCTGCTAGGAGAATGGGAGTCTTTCACTTCAGCTAAATAATATCTAGTCTGAGGCAATTCCTATCTAGCCTACATTTGGCCAAAAAAGTTCAAATGAGGGGAAGAATTGAGTGAAAAAAAATTAAATTTTCCAACAGCTTTCAATATTTCTATAGATACCTTATTGCTGTGAATGCTTTAAGGTCCCTTCCGATTGTGGCTATCCATTACAAACATTATCAGGCTTTATCAACAATTTCCATATTATGCTGTATAGTGCTTACCTTGTGTCTATGGGGGTGTGCTGGGTTGAGATTAGATGTCTTTGGGGGTGAGGTACAGAGCATGGTAAGAAGAATAGGCCAGAATATGTTGCCATCATTGCTCCCAAGCCAGTCCTTTACAAGGGACTCTTTGCCAATCTCAGCCAAGAACTGTAGCACAGCAGATACCAGATCTGCAGTAATGCTTACTCCCTTCTCTACAAAAGTATAATACAATTTATTAGTAAAATTCTTCTATTTCTATATTATGAATCAAAGTGTATACACATCCCAAAGGGTGACAGTTTTATTGAATCTTAAAATTTTTGATTATCCCAAATGACTGTGCAAAGTGAATTGAATGGAAAATATATTTTATTTTATTGTTTCATATACAAGCTAAACATTGACTCAGTCTGAGAAATGGTAATTTTGAATTCATTTTGAAGCTTTGATTGCTCTATAAGGTAACAGACTGATAAACTTTTATCAAAAATACATTTGATTCATTGATTCTTTTATATTATATTTTATGTGTCATGTAACCTACATTATCTTCAATATAATATTAATAGAAGGGTTTGTGCCATTATGTGCTTTCATGATTGCCCTCAAACAGAACCTGACCAAAATTTCAATCTTAATCACCTAATCCATATGACTCGCTGCTGCTGCTTCTACTGGCCGATCTAGGTGTAGTCTGACTGCTGGCGCCACCTTTAAACACATCCTCCTCTGAACTTGGGCTCATCATATCAACACATCGAGCCACCTCTCTTGCACAGAAATCCATCAATCCCTGGGCTAGCACCCCTGGGAAGCCTGAATACAACAACTGCTTGATTGCTAATGGCGACTGACATGCTGTTGCTAGGATACCAAAATGAGACTCATCAAGAATCATATGACTGAATTCTTGTAAGATTATTGGCTGAGAGTTTCTAGCAGCTGCATTAGCTTCTTTAGAGTCGTCAGTTTGAGATATAGACTCAGGTTGACGAGGGTGTTTACAATCATCTGTAATGTTCACGTCAATGACATTTCCACTGTTGATGATTCCCATCCATTCAAGCAGCGTGGAGAAATACTGGGGGTGTATATAACACATTGAACAGATCACATTGTCTACAGCTTTCTTCAAGGAGCTGCCACTTTCTAATACAGTAGACCACTCATAGAGGCAACTGGAAGAAAATATTCGAAGTGTTCCAATATAACTCAAAACTTTGTAGGGCTAATATTTTAACATTTTTATCAATTTTTAAGTACAATTTTTTCCATTAGCTAAATTCCAGTCTACCAGTATTTTCACATATCAATATTTGAACAGATAAAAACATCTTACAAGAAGAATAAATTCCATATCAATCCTGGCCATTCAATAATTCATACAAGTACAGTACCTGAGTAGATCTCTAGTGACCACCTGGTGCAGATCATATACCACCCCCAGTTCCTGACTGTGCCACAACAAAGCTGCTATACAATGTACATGTGCAGCGGCAGGACTAGGCAATATCTCAAAGCTACTGGTTTCACGTGGCGACTCCCTCCAACCATCGTCAGGATAGATGGCGCTCTTCTGTAACGCGATCCTGGCACTGTCACCCAGCCATTGCAGCATGGCCTGGACCCTGGCTTGAGACCCGTCATTTTGTTTAATCCCAAGTTGATATAGGATCTCTATGGTTGAGTCATTAGCAATGCCATTTACCTTACCATACAGGCATGGTTGACCACCTGCATGAAGAAAAGTAAATATTTTTACCCAAATTTTAATCACCTCTATATAGTTCTATATTAATCCCATTGTCAAATCAAATTAAAACAAATAAACAATTGAAAATTTTTAGCACAGTAAATACATGGCAAAAACAAGCCACTGAGCATGTGTGGACATCAAACCACAAATAGGCACATGTACTCTTATATTTGAAATACTCGTATGTATCTAATCATATGTCTATTATTATTATAGGAGGTGAATTCCTACCTGACTCTGATTGGTCATCTTGCTGAGCCATATTACGCAGCAGATTATCAATGACAGCTATGCCAAGCTCTGTAGAGTGGAGACCTATCTTCAGGAGGACTGATTCTATGTTAGAGGCATACATGGAAGAGTTGGGGGCCACTAGGAGGGCTGTACAGGTATTCAGTAGGTCCCTACTACCTGGTGCGGTGCTTGCTATGTATGGCTGTAAGTCCTCAGCTGTGGTCAGACAGTGGTGAAGCATACGCAACCAACCAATACTAGCGAAGAAAAAATAAATGAACAGTGTAAAATAGTACCATTTTTTAACTTGGTTCATTAAATTCAAGAAATGCATCATAACATATAACGCCAGAAATCAATATTGTAGTTACAAAACTGACCAAGTTTGTATGCTATACTACACGCCTATTTAACATAATCATTATTAACCAATCAAATCAATCAGATTTTCTGATGCAATCCTTAGAAACAAACAAAACAGATGAGAGATCTTACCTTGTCTTAGAAACATAGTCCTCAGAGGGGGTAAAGATGGTGGTTCCCCTTGGTGAACTATCTTGTCCAAATGCTGTGTGCCCAAGTAACATCAACTGAGAGAGGCCTATAGTTGTAGAGTCCCTGGGCTTGTGAAGGCGTATAGTCACCATACTGGCAACCTGGAAGATATGAGACAATCAATGACCCACTTTTAGTATGGGAGGCTTCTATCAAATGAAAGATTGATATATCTGATATTCCAAAAAATAACATTGAAAACCATAACGCTGAATTTAAATAAATATAAGAAAAGGTAAAATGAAAATGAATTTTGTATCCAGTTTCTTACCTCCGGTTTATGCAACTGCAATTTTATTGAAGTGAGGCCATTTGTAACTACTGGAGGACATATAGGCATCATAATAGAACCATCTCTGCTGATTTCTATGGCAACTGAAGATGGGCAAGCTACAAAAGATACAATAGGCAATGATCAACATTCTATGTATTCAATAATTTTTCAATGATATTTATTTCAAAGTATTTGAAAACATTAATATTTGAGATAGCACTATGGCTTAAGATTTTTTGTTAATTTCCACACAAGTACACCAGTGAAACATTCATTAGTACTATAGTCTACAGTTTTAGGATAAAAATTTAAAATACAAATACTTTTCACATATAACTTACTTGAGAGAGAGATGACATGTGGCATTATGTGGACTTCCTTTAATAGTATGGCACAAGGCAGAACAATGGTAAGGTCGACCCAGGCTTCATCAGGGTAGAAATGGTAACTCCAGGCGGCAGAACGGTTACGCCTATGAGGGGGCAGTTGTTGTATTAACACCTCAGCTGGTCCTGCACTTGGACTACTGGATGATATTGTTCCTACAATAACAGTTAAACATTTGAGATTTCAGCTATTCAAGATTAGACTTTTTGAAAAATGAAATAATTATGTTCATTTCTGTATTCCAATGGAATAAGAATATTTCACCAGAGGAGTTTAGATAAAACTCTTGAGGTATTGCTGCAAAAGCAAAAAATACAGCCAAAACTACTTAATAAAATGATGTGTAAAGTGGTGGCTATATTTCTAAACAATACCCTGTAGTTAGACTGTGACATTCCATAAAACTAGTATTCCTTAAACATAACTCCTGAATTTCAAGTGATATATCACTCATAAAGTAAAGCATTATAAAGTAGGTTGTCCTTACAAGGGAGACCCATTGTTTTTGATATCCTGTATACCATGGATACAATGCTGAAACACTACACATGGATATATATTTTTTTATTTTTCTTCTAATATACAACTGTGTATAAACCATGTTTACAAATTATAATAAATACATTGAGGGACACCTATAATGCCACTGGTGATTGGGTCCCTCATGTATGATATGTACTTATAATGATTAATGGCAATAAAATCTCTTTATAGAAAAATGAATATACATACCAAGAGGTGCAAAGTTCTGCAGACCATCCCCATTGCTATCTGCTGGAGCTGAGGTTGGCTTCTTGCTGGAACTCCCTGACTGTCTATTGTGTGAACTAAGGTACTGCATTAAGGTTGATATCATACTAGGATTAGTGCTCACTATATGCCGGTTAGATTCCACCAGGTTTCTGCAGACAATTGCAACACCACCTGAAACAATGGATATGAAAATAATGGATACTGTGTATGGTTTGCTAAAACATTGGATAAATGATTGAGATATTGGCTACCTTCATGTTTCACTAGAAACATTGCTGAAACCTTGGATGCATAAATGAAACATTGCTGAAGCAGTGGATATAGTAATGAAACATTGGATAGAATGTCGAAACATTGGATACATTACTGAAGACATTGTTGAACATGGAAGATTCATCACTAAAATATTGGATCGCAGACATTATCAAGGAACAAGGATTTCAAATAATGGTATGAACTTACCCATATCAAGGAATATCTTGAGGGAATATTGACAGTCCAAGACCCTGAGGAAGAGCCACAGTAAAGGCTCACTGAGTCTACAGACCCCCGTAGCCCTGTGGCCCCCCTGGAACCCTGCACTTAGGTAGCTATGTATTGGCTTCAACATTAGCTCCAGTGAAGTGGCCCTACAGTTCAATGTACACAGAATCTGGAATATTCCATCACCAACTGATACAGGATCAATGCCTGTAAAGTTCTCCTGTATGTTGCCTTGGAGACCGCTGCTCCCTAGTATCATAGCCATTGTGTTGCTATGACAACATGCCAGAGCCTGGAGTAGGTTAGCCATAGTGTGATTGTGACCTAAAATAACGTCTGCTAAACAAGCTTTCTTGCCAGTCAATGCTGGGTTTTTCATGTCTTTAAAATGAGTGCAAGATCTAATCCTAATTGGCTGAACCACAGGGGTTGGGTTCTCAGATTTTTCCTCATCTGTCTGACCAGTGTCTGTACTAGAAGAGCCTCCATTTTGTTTTTCTTCATCTGACTGGGAAACTGAAGCAGTTGAATCAGGAGCCGACTCTGAGCTAACTGATGATTCTGCCCTCTGCTGGTCAGTTAAATTACTACCCCTACCAGGTAGTTCCACTTGTAATAAAATGTTCACCAGCTTCAACAAATCACACATAAGAACATCTCTAAACGAATCACCAAACATTGACTTAGATCTAACTGGCCGTAGCATACTAGAGAACAATCCTCCAAAACATGACCGTGCACTGACTGATCCCTCGGAGGTGCTCTTACATGTGACCTTCTCTTGCGAAATGATGTGCTGATGTACAAGGGCACTGATTGCCTCAATCACACTAATTGCATTGTTGATGTCAACATTGTCAAAGTTCTGTTCTAGAATGTGCTCTAGTAGCTTGCACTGGGCATCTATGGGACCTGTACCACTGTGGAATGCACCCCTGAAAAACACCAACAATGGAGATTAAATCACAGCTTATTATAAGAAATGCAAACGTAATATTCTACGAATGCAATAGTGTTACTGTTGCTGTAAAATATGTGAAGCTCACGAAGCCAATTTTGGAACTGTACAAAAATAAAATTGCATGTAAAAGCACAGTCTACCTAATTGTCTTAAAGTAATGCCTCAGTCACATTTGATCTAACGGCAACCATATGGCTGACATAGCTTCTTAAAATCGAGAGAAATATTCAGCATAAAATATAAGGATAAGCAATATGATGTAGATTTTCTATGTTGAATTTGTAAAGCTACAGCCACCGTACAGTTACAAGAGATCAAATGTGACTGAAGCTCAAGGCAGCCTCTTATTCTGTCAATGAGAATCGAACTTATCATTATAAGGCATAAAAAATATACCTGTCAGTGGTTAGAGTAAAGACTAGCTTAAGAACTGATTCCTTCAAATGACTCTTGCTTGGCTCTGCAACACACAACTGCAGCCTCACTAGGAACTCATGGAACGCTTGTACTGTAGAAGGTCCAACCTGGTAAAATAGAATGTGATTTCAAGCACATATTGCACACACAATAGAGCAACCTACATAGGATAAATGTATAACTGACTCTGCCAATCAATCAAAATTAAAATTGATTAAATGAGTGAAAGAATTTCGTGGCTTATTTTTCTTCACAATGGGGTGAGGGTGAATCATATGGATTTCATCCCTACAAGTCAAGTGGACTATGAGTTATATAAATGATGAAAAATCAGTTTGCCTAGATTAACACTTACTGACTCTTGACTATAGAATACTTGACTAGACTGCTACACCCAGAATGGTGTTGAATACTGTAGGGAATCTATGCATAATTTCAAGTGATTACAATCACACAATTCAAGCCTGGCTACTTACCTGTGTGCAGCTATTCTGTGCCACAGATGATCCCCCAGGGTTAGATCCAGAGAGGAACTTCACTATGACAGCTCTCATGTTGCTGTCAGCCACCATGACAGTGGCCAGCCACTTGTCCCTCCCAACTCTATCTGACACCTTTACATTAGCCAATAGGGTGAGAGTCCTGAATGCTAGGGCCCACGTGCGCACCGCTACGCTTGGAGACCACGCTAAAGCTGCCAGTAAACTTGTCACAGCTTGCTCATCTAGACCAATAGATGGAACCCTAGTTGGGTCAAATGTCACCTGATTGTTATCATCCAATGAGGTTTCATCATTCAGGGTCAGCCAGAGTTCAAGGATGGTGTCAAGGTTGACTCTTTGTAGCTGTAGCTGAGTGAAGAGTTGACTGAAACACTGACTCAGCATCTCTGTAGAAGATACAGGTGGCTGCAAATAAATACAATTGACTTTAAATCTCTATTTGCTCCTTACTAATTCTCTGTGTGACATTTTAGATGGTTTTGATACAATGAATATTATTGCTTATTGAGACAATATGATCTAGTCACATTCAGTTGCAACTCAACATTACTGGGAAGAGTTAATGAGTTTCATGTTGAAAATATTCGGTTAATTTTTGCCTGAAAGTTTTCATTCAAAGATTGACAAGAACCATATCGCATTTAAAAAAATTCGATTTTTGCCTGAAATTTCTTATTCAAATACTGACAAGAACCGTTTCATATTTAAAAGAATTCCACCACTATTACGGATACACACAGAGCTGATTGTCTAGTCTATGTTAGTCTAGTCTATCTCCACCTACCCTAACTACTATATTGATACCGCCCAATTCATCATCAGTGACTGACTGCTGTTGTCTGGGGTTCTTCTGGGCCCCACCAGATGGCACTGCAGGTAGAGGGCTAGTGATTGCACTTTGTACATTCTCAACATCAAGAGATTGCATCACCTTAAATAATCATTTATTTCAGTTCTTTTTCTTTGTTTACTGTCAAAAAAACATCTTAATAGAGAGGTTTTGCAAAATGGGTATTTAGCAAAAATGTAACCACAACTGCATTTCGTTATAATTGCACTGGTACGCATAAATATGGTGAATGCATTACCGATTTTAGATACGTTGAGCTAAAAAACGTGGTGCAAAACCTCTCTTGAAAATTTGAAATCCTAGTCATAGTTGCTCGATGGACTTTTGAGGAAAAGACGGACTTCTCCACACATATTGTCAAGTCCATAGGCCAAATCATATTAACATACAACATCTTGACACATTACACATATATGAGTCAAATGGGGGATCAATGAAATCTGTAAAGTGGAAGACCTCTGTTAGTGGAAAACTAAAACCCAAGACCAACTGACTTAAATGAACCTCTTTGAGTGGAACACCTCCTAAGTGGAACACTTTTTAGAGGTACCAAAGGGGTTTCACTTAGACAGGTTTTACTGTGCTTCTACTCACCCTAAGACGTAGCTCTGCTCTCATATCTAGTCCAGTCTCAAGCCTGGCATCCATGGCTGTAGACACACCTTGGGGTGGTGATGATTTATGAACAATCAGATCCGTAAGTTTACTCCTCCACTTGTCCATCTTTGGGTTCTTATCATCCATGTAGAAGGTCTTCAGGGGAGGAGGCTCTTGCTGCTTGCTCAGGTTGGCAATGCTGCAAGAGAGTCTTACTTTAGATATTCTTGAAATGGGTTAAATAGTGAACAATTCTTGAAAAGAGTTCTAATTGAACTATTCCTATGGACTATATGAACTATATTGGACTATATTGAAAATATTGAATAGATTTAAAAGAAACATACAAACACTACAGATTGAACTAATCTCATAGATTGAGACTTATTCAGTTATTTTCAAAATCTCACATCAATCATACCATATCATTTTCAGTGGTATATATTCAGTGCAGTGACAAAACGTGTTGACAAGGGATACAATGATACACCAGACTGGATATTGATATGCATCAATGATATTGCTCCCCTGATATGCATTTACACACAATACGAGCAATGACACAGCAATTGACTTTACTAACACCATAATCCTACATTGTTATGTGCCACAAAATCTAAAGCCAGATTCGAACTTCAGAGAACATAAAGATAATTTGAAAAAAGTTGAAAAAATACTTTTTTGACCTTTTTTTACCTTGAGAGGGTCATAGAAGGTCAAATCTTAAAGCTAAAGTCAGATTCGAACTTCTGATATCTTGTAGATGATTTTTAAAAAAATTTGGTCAATTTGAAGCAAGTTGAAAAAAGATCTTTTTGACCTTTTTAATCTTTTTTGACCTTGAAAAGGTCATTGAAGGTCAAATCTTAAATGTAAAGTCAGATTTTAACTTCTGAAAACTTGTTGATTTGGAAAAAAATTGAAGTCTAAACAGTATCTGTTAAGTTATTGGATGTTTTAAGAATTTGTTAGACGCCAACCCCCAACTGCCAACCACCAACCGCCGCCACAAAAACGGATACCATAACAATTAACAATATGTCACCATTTCTGGTGGTGACATAATAATGATATTCATGCTGACTACCATTACAGCTCATATTGGTCGAAAATAAATTGAGCAATCGAGTCACCAAATTCTTGCTGACTACCCTTTGAGTTGACAGAAAAACAACAAAAAAGTCTACCTGTAGTACTTCTTCAAAGACTGCTGTAGTTTTGGTGAAAGATGATTCGTGTAGTTGGAGCTGCAACACATGCGTTAGAACTTATAAGCTATACTGAACATACAGAATATTACACACACAAAAGCTCGAGTCCTTAGTCTGAAAACTTGGAACTAGTCCTAGTAGGGTTTACTTTTCAAAATACAACACTAAGTCAGTAGTTATCGTTTATACAATGCGTTTATATGTAATATTCCATGCTTTATTATGCTGTATATCTAATCTTAGATTAGTAAAGAATAATATAAAGTAAAAGCAACTTTCACACACTTCAAAAACAACATTGGTGTATGTGTGATAATACATGTATTTTGCACAGATAATCACTAATCAGGTATTATATTGAGTACATGTATTTGTATTATACAGCATAATGTACACATATTCTGTACATGTAATCAGCATAGAAATTTTGCAAAGGAATTTAGTATTCTATTCCGTACACATATTTCATATTCTGTACAAGTTAGTATTTCATACATATCCTGTACAGATATAAGTACCACGAATATGTATTCTGTACCTGTATTCTCTACATCTATTAAAATCTACTTACATTAGTTTACTGCTGTTAGGAGGGCCCCATGGGGTCCAACTTTTATATGTAGTTGTGGTGTTATCTGTGGTTTCTGAGCCTGGTGCTGGTTGGACCTGAATCACCTAAAAATCAAACAAATATTCTATACATAGGAGGTCCCATAATAAAATCAACTTGTTTGATAGGGTATAACCATGGTTCAGTTTTAATTTGTATGACCAATATTGATAGTCTGTCTGGATGGAAGCCTAGTTGATTCCATAAGCTCATTATGTGAGCCAGAAACTGGTTAGACGCTACAAAGGAATCAATATGAGTTATATAATTGTAAAAAAAATATATTCGTGGAAAATAATTCTATATAAATAAAAATTCTCATAAATAAATGACTCATACCTGTACATTAACATTCTCATTGTTGGTTTGAGAAACGGAGACTCCTGCATTTCCAGTGATGTAGTCCTGAAGGTGCATATTGGTGATGTCATCATACTGTTCGTCCTCCAGTAACATATCTACGATCAGTGACGACTCCTGGTCAAACTTGAAGCTGTCATCTTTGGATGTATCACCACCTAAAGTTTGGAGGATATATAAAGAAGTAGATGTTTAAAGTAAGAAAGTTAAAGGTACTTGACATCTATTGTTTTTTTAGTTTCTGGGAGATTAAAGTCAGGCAGAAAAGTATGAATATCTTTACATAAGGACCTTGAAATATCAAGACATCATGCTATTCTCATACTTATAAAACTTAATTTGGCTGTCATTCACCATTTATTAAGCAGTAAAAAATTAATTTGCTCCATGGGTGACATGATGAATGTCAAGTCTCACATCATACGAATGTAATTTTAGTCCATCTGTCTGCATGGGGTGAGGCTATAACAATGAGTCACCACTTTTGGTGGTGACAAAAAAATGATGCAACATGATCCAAAGTGTACCTGAAGCTTGTGTTAGATGTGATTCCTCTATGTTGGGCAGACTGATGCTGTGTGCTATGGAGTCATCCGTTACCTCCACAGTCTCACTGGCCTCAGGTGGAGTGGTAGCATCATCTGGTTCAGACATAGCAGCTATCTCCTCTTCACTTACTCCCTCACTCTCTATTTCTGTCTCTTCAACTATAGGGAAGATCTTTTCACCTGTAACAAACAAATTTCTCAAATATAAACTCCCAAGTTCCCAACATAATACCGTATTCTCTGTAATTAGCGCCCAGGGCGTTTAGAAAATTGAAAATACATTATTTAGACCATTCTAATAAGCGCCCATGTATGAAAGAAATCAGAAATCCCGAGGAATTTCATGTATGGCAATTTTTCTTGACAAGAATGCATTTTCTTCAAAATATTTTTATAATAATATGACAAGTGCTGTTATTGGAGAGAATACGGTAAAGATCGCTTAGACAATATTGACAGTGGTTGAAGACCCGTCTATGTCTAATTTATTTCCGGCACGCCCACTTTGTCATTATCGCCGATTACCTTCAATATTTCCACTAGAGACTGCTGGATATCGATCTAAAGTTATACATTATTTCTAATTTGATGAGAGATCATCATTATTCGTGCAAAAGTCGTGTAAAAGTCGAGAAACATTAAAAAGAAACCAGAAAGTTCACGACCTTGACATGCGCAGAACATCTGCGCAGTAGCTTTTGAAATTTCTGAATGCCGATAAAGAACAATTCCTTCATTCATTATGGACTATTTGGAGACAATATTAGCATGGCATGGTGTGGGAAGCACCCATCGATAGATATGTATCGAGAGGATGCATAGAATTACAAAACGCGTCGTGTTTACAGCAGTTTTAGGGTAAGTACTCTATTATCGCCCGCTCCTGGATTTTGAGAAATATTTTTTTCCTGATATATTCTTCAATTCTTTTTTTGAACTTTGTGAAGCGGGGTGGGCGCTTATTAGAGAGTGGGCGGTAATTACAGAGAATACGGTAGGTAGTTTTTATTTTGCACACATCACCCAAATTAAAAGACTCATTCTTGTTCCCACTGTATTCATTTTGGAAGAATGACAGCAAAAATAAATAATACTACTTGAAGAGCTAACACAGACCATGGTTACGATGGGGCACTTTGCCTTTTAGTGTGCGCCAAAACTCCAGAAAATCCCATTAACTGATGTTGAGGTAGGTTACTATGATTTGACCCATAGTCATTATAGATTGGTTCATTGACTATTCATTTTTACTTGTCTGCATTCAAAAAAGTGACACGAAAGGGCTCAACGGCTTGCCCCAAGGTGCAACCGGCAAAAAGATGAGTTTGACAAAAATCTTTTTTTTCAAATAATAGCAGCGAGTATATGAAATAGGAGGCAAATTTGATATTGATATGTATGATAGTCCTTTTGGGTGTGGTCATTTTTATTAAAAACAATAATATTGAAGAATAATACATTTCTGACCTTAAAATGCCATTTTAATGCAAAAATCACGGTTGTTATTAATTATATTCCTATTTTACATATTCAATGTTTTCTATATATTACACTTACCATTATATTCATTTTTGGCAAAGTAAATAATAATGGGGCTCACACAAGGATCCACTTTATTTACAACTTTTTCATATTTAGTGATGTTTTGAAAAATTACTACGTTTAACAGAAAATTATTTGTTAAATGTTAAACAAAATAATGATAATGTGTTTGTTTCGCTGTTTCAACTGAAAAATCACAATTCATTGCTCTTGATCTTGGAGCGGTAGGGCATATACCAGTATGACCAATCTTCAATACAGTTGATCCTTGTGTGATCCCTACTATTATTTACTTTGCCAAAAACTAATATAATGGTTATTCGGATATATGAAAATCATTTGATAGTCAAAATAAGAATAATATAATTGACTTTTGAATAAAAAAGCATTATATAGTCAGAAGTACCAAAGTACCATAACTGTTTTTAAGAAAATAACCATACCCTAATGGACGATCTCTACATATCAATAACTAAATTTCATATCGGTCCATGTTTTCTTTTTAATGGAATTGTAGCATGGCTGGTAGTTTAGGCATTAGAGCATCAGAATCTGAACTAGAAGGTACTAGGTTTGGTTCCCACACAGCATTACCACGCAACTCCCCGAAGTAACCCTCGGGTCCTTACAGAGTGCCATATTTGCATATTAAAGTAAATAGACGAATTTGCCGCCCTCCCGCCATATTCTTGTGTATCTTTGATAATACTAGCAATATACTGTGTAACAGCAGCTCCACATATCCTTAAAAATAATTGCAAATACCTGGCTATTGACTTCCCGGGATTGACTTTTGACCTTTTCTGATGCATGAGATAAACTTGCCCAAAGGTCTTAAACGGCTTAATACCTAGATATTGACTTTTGACCTTGAATTGACATGACCCATCAGTAATGAATTTGACCCCAAGTCACCTAGTAATGTGTCACCAAGCGTCACAGCATTCCCCGAGTGCTTTGAAACACCAATACCTAGATATTGACCTTGAGATGATCTTGAATTGAACCATTAAATGATGACTGACCTCATGTCACCTTATCATGAGTCGCCAAGGGCCACATCACGACAGCAGCCCCTGTGGCCTTAAAACGCCAAACACTAAGATATTGAAATTTGACCTTAGATTGACCTTGACCCCAGGTCACATTTCAATTGGAGTCAAGTGCAGCAGTCGCCCCAAAACGCCAAATATTTAGAAATTGATCTCTGACCTTGACCTATAACAATGACACTGATCTCAGGTCACTTTATCATTGGTGATCAAATGTCAGTGTAGCCTCAAACGAGCCAACTACCTAGATATTGACCTTTGACCTTATTATAATTTTGAACCATAGATATTGACTTTGACCTCAAGTCACCTTAGCATGAGTTGCCAAGGGTCATAGCAGCCCCCAGGGCCTCAAAACGCCAAATACAGAAATTTTGACCTTGTAGGAATGACCTTGACCTGAGAACACATATCAATGTGTCCTATGAAGCAGCATTCCCAAAATGCCAAATATTCAGATATTGACATCTGACCTCGAGATGACCTTGACCCATAAACAGTGACATTGACCGTAGGTCACTTTATCTTTGGTGATCAAATGTTACTGAAGACCCACAATAGCCAACTACCTATGACCCAGATATTGACCATTGACCTTGAAATTACCTTGAAATCACCTTATCATTGGTCGCCAAAGGTCACAATTGTTCTCACGTCAACTTGCTAGATATTGACCTTTGACCTTAAAATTACCTTGATCTATCAGACCTTGACTTCAGGTCACCTAATCATTGGTTGTGGAGGGCCAGGTGTCTTAAAAAGCCAACTACCTAAATATTGACATTTTACCTTGAAATGACCTTGATTTTTGTAGAATACATTTTTTATGAACAAAAATGAAACATTCAAAGTTGAAAACTGCCCGTTTGAAAATAAAATTGCTGCTAATGTTTCAAAACGAAGGTATCTGTATTGTAAAAGTAATGTTCAAATTGAATAAACTAAAAGAAATATACTTCAATTATTTAATTTTCTATCAGACTAAGTAAAATTGTAACTGTTCTAAATGTAAATGTTGCAATAAAAGCTCACATATATCTTGTTGCATATGAGTCGAGTGCAGCTGCTACAGGTATCACTCTGACAAACATCGGTGAACAAATCAAACTTGATGTGATGCATTAAATCAGTACTTTTTAATTTGGCGTCCAAGCAGAATGTTGGACAAAATGGCTAACTGTTAGATAAACCATCATTAATGGAATAGACTAGATGCGAGTAGAAAAAAACTTGATTTTCCGTCAAAGCGATGTTATATTTGAAATCTACATGTAAAAGTACATCTAGAAATATGGTTTCGAAAATTGTTTATCAAGTTTGAAAATTTAATTATTTTTGAAAGTGTGACTTCTAGTTCGGGTTGATTCTCCATAGAGCCCATGTTACAAAATCACAAAAAGTGAAATATCTTTTCTTGTATTGGTCAGATAACATTTTCATTTACTGGACATATTTTGATTTGCATAACTATTAGATACATAAGGGTTATATGAAAATTGAAGCACAAAAACAGATGTAATTTAAGTTAAAGGGAACTTTCTACTATACCCACCATGCTATCTGACCCGAACGAGCCACCTGGTGGGGAAACTGGTAACTACCTACTCGCATCTGCGTTATTGTCAAAAGTTGCATTTATAAAATCAATTCCTGCCTCACCACTGTTACACCCATTACTACACAGATGTTGTCTCGACTAGATCACTGTCTGCAAGCTAAAATAGTATCAAAATCACTGCCTGCTTTATCACAATAAACTTTTGTTACAAATAATTTCAGTAAAATGCAAATAGAAGGCCCATTTGATATTAATATGGAAAGATAGTCCACTTTGGTGTGGTAATTTTACTGCAACAACTACATATGTACATGTATAATGCCTTTTATTCAAACGTCAATCATTGTATTCCTATTTAACCTATTAAATGATTTTTATATATCTGAATAATCGTTATATTCATTTTTGGCAAAGTAAATAATCATAGGGCTCACACAAGGATCAACTTTATTGAAGACCTTTTGTACTGGTATATGCCCTGCAGCTCTAAGAACAAGAGCAATGAATTGCGATTTTTAGTTGAAACAATGAAACAAACACAATACCATCATTTTATTTAATATTTAACAAATAAAATTGTGTTAAACTTGGTATTTTTTGAAATCATCACTAAATATGAAAAAGTTCTAAATAAAGTGGATCCTTGTGTGACCCCTATAATTATTTACTTTGCCAAAAACTAACATAATGGTAATTGAAACATTAAGAAAACATTGAATAAGTAAAATAGGAATATTATCATTAGCAACAGTGACTTTTGAATTAAAATGGCATTTCAAGGTCAGTAATGTATAATTCTTCACCATTATTGTTTTTAATAAAAATGACCACACTCAAATAGACTATCATACATATCAATATCAAATACGCCTCCTATTTCATATACTCACTGCTATTATTTGAAAAACATGATTTTTTTCAAACTCATATTTTTGACGGTTGCACCTTGGGGCAAGCCATTTAGCCCTTTCGTGTCACCTTTTTAACTGCAGACAAGTGAAAATGAAAAGTCAATGAACCAATCTTTAATGACTATGGGCCACTTCTTAGTAATCTACCTCAACATCGGTTTAGACTAACTAAGCCACTTTGGAAGCGATTTGGCGCATACTATTTATATTTTTGGAAAAGAAATAAATGGGAATCAACACTGTTTTCCTTGGTATTTATCTAGTCCTAAGAATGCCAATGTGACAAGTGATTTAAGTCTACTACTCCATACCCACCTTCAAGTACATCCTGTAAAAGACAGGAGACAGCATGCCCTGCCCAGGGACCACCCCAGGATATGTTGCCATGGTTATGCTCCAGATCTGTGCATCGCAATAGTAGTTTCTCCAGCTCACTCTGTGACATCATCTCTGCTAGTGTCACTGCAGGTCGACATGACATGCACACTTTTGCTACAACCTAAACAAATAAATAAACAAGACTTATTTCCAATGACTTCAATAAGGAACTACTACTACTTTGTATAAATATATAATTTGATCAATTTAATTCGTATGATGATCTATATAATTGTTGAAGTCATGAAGGAAAATTATTTACTCGAATCTTAAAAACTGACAAGCAAAAATTTAAAATAGATAAAGAGTATCTCTCACCTTACAAGAGACCAAGAACAGATCAACATTACATGTAAAGTCCATTGACAACAACAGATTGATCAGTCCCTTGACAACAGGGATGCAACGATCCCTTGGCAACACTACCAGAGTTTCTAGATCCCCATCTGCTTCTCCTGTAGTCCCATTGGTTCCAGTCTTTCCATTCTTAGGCAGTTTCTTGAGCACCTCACACTCAAATCTTCTTATCTGCATGAAGTCCTTGTAATGCTGTAAAGGGACATGGAAAAACGATTTATATAAAACTAATCTTTTTTAATAAACAAATTATTCAAATAAACAGGGTGCTTCAAATTATTATGTAAGGGGATACTGCCAACATTAGTGGAATCAAAATGTAACACTTAGACACACTACCACAAGGAATCTGTGGATGTTCTGCCGTCCTATGGGGAGAATTAGAGATTAAAATGTATACAGCTTAATATAATCATATATTGTCTTTTTTAGTTAACTTTCATTATTAATCCTTATTGCAGGGTTTACAGGGTGGGCCAATAAAAACTGGAACATTTTTCTATTTATGTCAATTAATTGAAAATTAATTGGTTTTATGTGTGTTTTATGGGAGTAGTTAATTGTTGTTGCGATTGTCAGAATTTGATGTAAACAAATCGGTTACTAGGAAGTAGAGTTGAATGTAGGCCAACGCACATGCGCAGAAGAACACCATTTTCCATTCATTCCTTGATACAAGGAGAAAGCAGGTTGTTATCTGAGTGAATCTCGCCCGCCATCCCTCCCCCATTTACCACCCATGAATTATCCCCCAACTAAGGTGAGATCAGGAAATGGTAAGATAGTTATTGTTAGTGGTACATGAAGGTAAGCAACCATAGCAATCACCATGGTATTGATCAGATGTACTATTCTATTCTTAGCTAATTAGAAAAAAAAAGTGTAACAATAAAAACTACTCCTTAAGACACCCACATAAACCAAAAAGACAAATAAATTCCATTCTCTTTATTTTTGCAGTTCAATCCACAAAAATTCAGATACTGGTAAAATGATTATTTGTGAAAATGTTAAAGATTTAAGTATGTATGTATGATTAATTTTGGCTTGCTATGGTCATGAACTGTATACTGCGTGCGTCATGAAAAATTTCCAAATTTTCTCTGCTTGAGACATCAGAACAGCCAGATTTTATCGAAAATCAAAACAATCCTGAGTTCCATGTCTAAGTGGTAGGCAATTTTGTATCGAACAGACGATTGAAATGTATTGTCATTTGGAAAAACTATTTTTCGTTTCAAGTACCTTTGATGAATACTGTTTAAGCTGTTTCTTGAAGATAGCCTCCTGTTGTTTTAAGGCTGCTTCTGCTTCCTTATTCAACCCTATTGCAGACTTCTCTATCTGGGAGCTCATGAAATGCTTCTTAGCCTAGCAAATAAACAAATAAATGATGAGAAATCCTAATTCAGAAAATTAAAAGATCAAATTTGAAAGTAGTCCTCACTTTCCTTCTTGATACAATTGTATAACTTCATTATGACATTATGAGTATTTCCTCTTCTCTAAATTGACAATATAGTCACAAATAATAATATGTATGGCATCACCTCTCAACCGGAGTGATAAGCATGACATAATAAATGAAGAAAAATTACTACATTTTTCAAATAGCAAACACTTTGGTATATGTTATTGTTTTTTGACTAAATGCTTGTTTATTTATGGGCATAAAATTGATTTAAACATACCTGTTGTATATCTAGGAGTTGTTGCTTGTGGTGCATGAGCCTCTTCTGCAGACGTCGCCTATATTGGCGCAGGTTGTTGCTCTTGCTAACTGTCTGTTGGTTAGATATAGCTGTCTCACCCTGTACAAAGTCCCACCTATTTGAGATGCTGGTGGTTGTACCTACAGGGTGGCACAAAAATATTTCTCACAATATGATTATTTCACAAAATTTTGGTACGAAAATAATGGAACTTTTACAATATGATAATTTCACAATATTTTGGTAGGAAAATAATGGAACTTTTTACAATGTGATTATTTTACAATATTTTGGGTCAGGGATCTAAGCTTACAATTTTTACCTGGTAGCTATTTCACTACTTGAAAAAATATTCACTATTTTGTTTCAACACAGCTAGTCACCTCTGCATCATACAAGAAATCAGTGGAACTGCTGAAGAAGCAAATCAGAAGTAATGTTCTACTTACCAGTTGATGTTGACTCCTTGTCTTTCCCTCCACTTGCTCCATTGTCCTCAGATGCCCCTGTTGCAAGCTGTGTACTGTCTAAACACCTGGATAACAGCAGTACTAGCCATCCGACTAACTGGAGGTCTAGGCTACCTGTAAAGTTTAAGTAAAATTTTATTAAGTAGAAATTTTTATTATGTAAAAAACTTAGGCAAATACTAAATAAATCAGAAAGAATTTTCAAAAAGTTTGTGTTTTAAATACATGTAATAACCATGTCTTAAGGTTCATTTAGGATTTACATGATTCAAATTCCATGATACATGGACCTGGTCCCAGTAGTTGACCATGAACTACAAATGTTCAAAGATCATCCATGTGAAATCTGATGCCCAAAGAATAATAAAACAAATTGATCATATGAGGCCAAAATTTCAAGACTTTTTGGACAACCCTCGTACATACCATGACTGTTTGCATAAGCCTGGTACTCTCCAGTCAAAGGGGACAGTAGCTTAGTAAGGAGAGCAAGGAGGCTGTCTATCATATCTGACCCCTTGTTTCCTGTAAGAGCCTTCTGGGCCAGAGCACTCAACAACATAAACACCCTAAAATATAACAGTATACAAATGCTAATACTGCACATTACGATTATAACATGATTAAAATATACCAAACAATTTGCTGTTATGAAATGATAATACAGCTATCACCTACGGTAAGTCTGATAATGAATCAGTGTTTATCTAGATTTCTGTCTTTGGATGAACGCACGAAAACAACACACCAAGATCTCCATAATAAAACATTGGGAAGAGTAAAATGAGATGAGAGTGCTATACAATAATAGGGTAATGTCTTTACCTGTCTTGGGGGAAGGTAAGATGCTGCTCAGTACTGTAGAGCTGTTGTAAGGCTCTTCCAAGAAAGTCCCCCCACCAGGGCTGGTTCCCACACAGCCTTACTAGCAACATCCCTGTAGTCACCTGTGTCTGCCTTGAGCCACATACACACAGTTTGTTGAATAATGCCTCACAGAATCCTAGATCAAACACTGTGTATAGCGTCACTGGGGGCTGGGGGATAGTTGGCGTCGAGCTAGTCATACTGAGGATCGTGTTTAATAATAGCTCGGATATCACACGTAGATGATCAACTGAAGCCTGTTTGATTAAAATACCCGTGTTGGCCAGAATGTGGTTTGGGGTGTTCAGACCAATTGTCTCTTGCAGTCGCTCCATAGCGTGTTTAGCAAGATTCCACTGAAGTTGTAACTGGAGGCAATCATTGTAAGCGTGGAATATCTTGGTGTCTTCTTCATTGCGTTTCCCCTTGCTCAGATAATACGTAGTGTGGGAGTTAACATTCTGTGTGCTGTCAAGGCCTAACAGTAGGGACTCAAGCCTATTTCTAGCCAAGCTATAGCGGCACTGTATATCCTCTTGCAGGTTAATCATGGTAGCAAGGTGGCCTAGAATTTGAGACTGATCTAAGAAGTTCTGATTTGAAACACCATCAGTAGTCTCTCCAGTTTGAGGTTTTTCAGACTCCCATGGTAAAATGAAAGTGTTTCCATAGAAACTACCAATAGGGATTCGGGAGCGGGTTGCATTCCCGCCATATCGCCCGATGATTGTGATTTTTAAATAGCGGCAGATAGGTGGTGATATGAGATCATTCATAATGAGAGAACGGAGACCAATGTCTGTTGAGACGACCAATCGCTGACCATCAGATTCCTCAGAATGAGTCCACACGTCAATTGAGAGTGACGCAAGATCTGCACATGCAGGGATGATAATGTCGGTCAACAGAATAGGTTTACCAAAGTCCAAGACAACAAACCTCCGTGCCCCTGAAAACACAATGATGAGAATTTAAAGACTTTATTTCAGAGACATTTTTAACATATATTGAGCTTATCTATTAACCTGGTCATACTATTTAAATCTATGAGATTTTTTATACAATATAATAGAGAAAAGGAGGTTTCATTTCCCATCCCTACAATTACCAAAATGTTGCTTACCGGAGTGCATCCTCTCTATGACTAGAACCTGTGCAGGAGGTGGCTGCAGAAGTTGTTGGGTGTTGGGTAGGGGTACATTGCACAACTGTCCCGACTCACTCTTACTCACTGAACTCTACAATGACATTATTAACCAAATGTTACTGATTATTTCACTCGGTACTTGAGATATATTTGAGGTACAGTATAACTTGTAAAGTGGAACACTTCTACAAGCGGAACATCCCCAAGTGGAACACTTCATTGACTTCAAAGTCTAGTTACCCATCAACTGAACTTCTGTAGGCATAACACCTAAGTGAAAAAACACTATTTTGAGATAGCAACGATGCTTCACTTGCAATGATTTCACTGTAACATCATTCAAAATCAAAAACGCAAAAGAAGCACTTTTATATCTGTGACTAATAAGGATTTAAGATTTAGTATACTGTATTGATTAATTGAATCTATTGAATTACCTTAGGAGTGGCTTTTCCTGAGCCTTGACTGGAACTTGGCCCAGATGGTGGTTTGCCTATGTCAGTCTCAGTAGAGTATGTTCCCAACCCAGAGGTCCAGGCCTCATTGGGTGGGGTCACTGGGGGTGTCATGAAAAATGGGGTATTCTTGGGGGTAGGGGGCATCAGGTCAGTAGAGTAGCTATAAGGTTGAGAAGTCGAAGGACCTCCAGCTTTTGTCTCTGCTAATTTCTGCTCCAATTTTTGCTTCTGGTATTGTAGCTTAATCAACTGCTGTTGTTTCTGCTGTAGCTGTGAAAGCTGCTGTTCAGCTGACGCCATTGCTGTGGAAAGTGACATCAAAGCAGCTCCCGCCTGTGACACATTTGGCAAACCTTCGGCAAAATTTATAGTCCCCGATAGCCCTGAAGTTCCCGAGACGTTACTCACAATCCCCGTAGAGTCTAAACGTTCCATTCTAGTTCCGTCACTAGTGGCGTGACATGTAAAATGTAAAGGTTCAACCTCAAGTAAGCCATAACACTGTATGGTCCCCTTTTCCCCCTGTTTCTTGCCCTTATCACCACTTAGGCTTAACAAATCTCTAAAGTCAACTTCGTCAAATCCCTGGGGACCTCCAACATTGTTGTTGTTGTTACTACTGGTTGTACCAGCTGATGTTGTTGGAAAGTTGTCATTGACAAGGCTACCAAGGTTGTTGTTATTATTCTGTACGATGGATGCGTATGTGGAAGGGGAGTTGCTGCTGTTGGATGTCTTCAAGACGGGAGGGGGCTCCGTATCAAACATCTCTATATCTAAGGGGCTACCGTACAAACCATACCTTAAAGGAAAAGACAACAATTAAGTGCATAATAGACAAAACAAGGCATTGACATTACATGCAAAATGTCACCACCTGACATTTGTTACAGACACCAAATGCTGAACACCAAACACCAGATGCCAAACACCAAGCAGTTGGAGACTAACAATATGTCACTTGTAATAATAATCATTTCTGGTGGTAACATAACAAAGGTACATCATAAGTATTTCAGACCTTTCCGTCAAAACAAAAAATTAAGAAGTTACCATGTTATCTTTGAATGTAGAGTATACTGAAAACACAAGCTGGCTAAGAACAAAATTAACAGACTCCAGGCCTCAAAAACTGACTTATTGTATTTTAATTATGTAACACCCTTTATTCAATACACTTATACATAACATAGATAATTAGGCAAGAAAGACCTACCTTGCTTTGAGTATAGAATGTAGAGGATTCAACCTTTCATGATAACTGCTAGCAACCTGAGCCAAGAGTTCAGCACACCTCTGTCCAGTCACTCCTGCATCCATACATTTCACACGATTCAACAGCATAAAGTACCAGTGTAAGGAGCCTGCCGATTTAGCTCTTGGAATCATGGGAAGGCACTCTAGTAGCGCCACCAAGAGGCTAAAGTTGAAAGCAGGAGCCATGTCAGGGTCATCAGATCCCTTTGTAAACCTGAGAAGGAAAATATAAAGGATCAAAATAAAAATTGTTTCTGAATCAAAAACTTAGATTATGGAGTCTGACAATTCTAAAAAAAATAGTGATGATAAACAAAATGTTTTTTAAGACCCCATGAGAAGTTTGAGAATATATTTCTATTATTTGTAAACTATTTTCCATAACTTAAAAAGTTGTTTTAGACTTCTCTTCAGAGTTAATATGAGCTTGTCTTAATTCTAATTGGCAATTTTGGGCTAAACTGACACCCCCATTTGTAAAATAATATCACAGAGAATTGCAACAACTTACTCCATGCAAAGAGCTAGTAGACGAGCACATCTATGGGCCACAGTTCTACCATTGTCTATGAAGCAAGCCTTGATGAGTCCATTCAAGTTGGACTGAATGGTGTAGATCACACTACTGTGTTGGTCTCCACTGGAATGTGAGAAAAGTGTGAGCACAAGAGGAATGATTGACAGGAATGATTCATTTTTTTACAAAATAAGATAATAGGGAAGTTCAAACTTTAATAAATTTTTATCTAAAAATCACCAGCAGCATACATGAGTGTTTCAGAATCACTCCTCAATTTGGGTCAGTGATTATGTTACACTTCCGTCTTGTAATACAGTTTGTAAATATTATTTGTTTTGAGCTTATTAAGTTGAAATGAACACCAGACAACCAAGCATTATCTATTCAATTCTAAATGATTCATTATCACGATTGCCACAGTTCATTGATTGGATTTCTGATATCTTGTCATGCAATCAAGATCTTTGCTTTCTCTGCACAAGGGGAGGGTTTTGGTTAGTGTTTTCAATGAATTTGATAATATACGAGCTTGTAAAATCCAGGAATTTTAGAAAAAAATATTCCAGGAAAAAAATCTAAATATGAGCAGTACCTGTCTGCAGGGTGATTCATCTGTAAGGCAGTGATCCAGCATAGTATATCCAGTGCAGTGTTCTGTCTGTATGCAAGACTGCTCTGGTGAGACACCCTAGTGTCACTGTCACATACAGTCAGCAGTAACTGCTCATAGAACGATGTCGTATCTAACATTGCACATCTCTGGATTCTGAAATTGATCAAAATTCAATGTTGACACTTGGAAAATAAAATCTATGTACATGTAGATCTTCTCAAACTCAAATTGCTTGGCCTACTTAAATTTGCCTTCTTCTCTATTTAATATCCAAACTATGGCTACACCACTGAAGCAGTTATGTATAGGAAGCGGTGGTTGCACATTGCACATACCTGTCTTTAGCCACTGTACTCTTCTTTGCCTTTCTGATAGTGATTGAGAGCTCTTGGATCCAATTACATCCCCGTAGACTTTCAACAACCTTTTTCGATGGCTGAGGAGACAAGCGTTCAACTGCAGAGAACCCTGGGTACTCAAAGTTATCGAACAGAGACTTGAACGTCTTTTCTTTTTTCTTCTTTTTGGCACTTGACTCTGAGGGTTTCTGTAAATGAAATGACATAAACACATTAAACACAAGGTATGAGGGTTGCTCGCTCTCCCGTGTACTTATGAGCTAAAGGTAAGGGTGCAATAAGAGGGGGCTATACCCCAGAACCTATTTCCATATAAACCTCTGGAGCATTTCCTTCCCTTGGGTGTAATCAATGTGAGAATATACAATCTTTTCGCATTTACATTTTTACACTTCCATCAATTGCATGCATAACTGATACAAAATAATTTTTACCGTTATTTAAACGTTATTAAACCATTATCTTAACAGATGTTGATGAATAACGTACCAAAGTTCATTAAATAACATTAGCATTAACTGGTTCTAGATTAGTATTCTCTATGAGGCAATATTCGGTGATGATAACATCATCTCGGATCAAATTACCCCACTCACTTCAGATAAGCACCATTCAATTTTAAAAAAATTACCATTATTTTAGATGGGCAATCAGATTTTATCATTCTCTTTCGATATATGCACTGCTCACGAATGTTGAACAACTTTTTCCAACACTCATTTAGACAACAAGATTTGATTTATGTGACAACCACCCATCCACCCTTAAGAATAAAACGAAGACAATAAAGAACTTTTTCAAAGAATGATAAAAAAAGAAGAATCTCATACCTCTTTTTCAGCTGATGCAGCAGCCTCTTGTGATGACTTCTGAGTGGTTTCCAGAACCTTAAGATGGACCAAGAAAGACCTCGATTTCACCTTCAATAACATGGGACTTGTGAGTGAAATGACAGCATTGTGACCTGAGAGGTCCACACATGGTCCAACATCAACTGGGCCACATAACACCTCAGCATTATGTTTCTCCAGGAACTCTGCACTAAATCCTGAATGTAACTTTGTCACTTTAGGCTCTTCTAAGTTTTCAAAGTTGATTTTTTGATCCACGTCAACGGGAGTCATCTCTGGGTAGACTTCAGGGAGAGTTGGGCTGTTAGGGTGGCGGCCAAGGCTGCTGATATTCTGTTTAAGGAGGGTGACACGTAGTGCTGGGGGTGTGCTACGTAGCTGGTGGAAGGTCAACTTGAGGTCTATGTGGCCCACACAACAGGGTTTTGGGAGGACAACTTCAAATAGATGCTCATCCCATGTATTCCTGCAAAGATATGAAAGACAGATTGTAAATATATTATGGTGCTCAGTGTAAGAAAGTATTTCTAATGATAACAGGAACTTAACTCTAAATCCTAAAGTAACTTCAACACTTTCGGCTCTTTTAAGAAGTTAAGCAGTTGATAAATATATGTATAAGAAGGCATTTGTAATGATAACACGGGTTTAAAGGCCTGCTTTTCCAGGTTCAAAGGCCTGATATTAACAAAAAGTTTATAAAACAAAAATCCAGTATGCTTACCCATCAGGCTGCAGCCTCCATGTGCGTGTATGTTGAGTTGCCTCTCCCTGCTGCTGCAGATGCTGCGGGTGCCTCCTCTGTTGCTGCTCCTGCTGGATCTCTGTCCAACATGGTGGCACAGTTGCGGAGAATCTTGGCATGAGGTTCTCAAACTGTGTTAAATTGTGTAGAGTATGAAGGACTTCAGCAGTAAGAGGTTGGTTAACTAAGAGATCATCACCTACAATTTTAATTTATTTATTGAACCTTCAAGAACATTCATGAATCAGCAATAAGCAGGCAACATACAATGTTTCTGGCTGTTCACAAAAATCATCTGTTTTCCATGTTACAAGTTTTAATAATTTTATATGTAATTTTCTTTTATTTTGCCTGAAAAATTGTCTTAAAGAGATTGCATTTCTGTATTTCTGTACAGAAATTGTCTGTATTGCCTATAAACCCAGAAACCTCAGCTGTGTCTAAAAATATTAACAATATCCAGACTTTTAATACTAACAATTTTTTATAGAATTACACAGGACATAGTGAAGATTTTGTAGATGCTTTTGAAACCATCAAATATTTGCAAAAATCAGACTGTTGACATTCCTCTTTATTTCTCCGTGTAGTTTCTAATATTTTACCTGAAGTGACCTTTGGTACAGACTGGGACTTTGTGACTGTACTTGTGGCAAAGGTATGACTGTCTCTCTGTCTCTCACGTACAGGGGAACTGTGTTCTAACATGTCTATCTCACTAAATTCTGGAATCTGGGGACCGATCATATAGAAATGAAGCTTGCCATTCTTCGTGGCTGCACAAAGCCTGTCAACACCTGAATATAGAAAATTTCATTAAATAATCTTCAAATCAAGTTTCCTTTACAACAGAAATACATGTTCAATTTAATTCATTTAGAAATATACTACATATTTTTTATACATGTACTTAAATGTTTGCTTTTAAGGCACTTCTCATAATCATCACTAAGCAATATGTTTATAGATAATGGCACCTTGGTAAACCATTGTACCATGTGTTAGAGCCTGATGATAACAAGATCTGACAAAACAAGAGAAGCGTAGCACAATGTATTATATAATATTATTATATAATATTAAACAATGTATTATACAATAAAAGATCATTTTTTATCCCCTCTCGCAATGACTGACGAAATGATCATGTATTTTGATATATTTCAAAGAGTGTTATTTACCTGAGCAGAAGGCTAGAGATATGAATTTATCCTCCTCTTCAGTAGGTTTCATCTCAGCCAGAACAGACCAAGAGTTCAAACTCCTGATCTGCACCCTCCCATCATATGTTGTCACTGCAATTTGACCCCCCACATCAAGTCCATCCTCACCCTCAGGATCTACTCCCTTACCCCCCATGTCATCATCTTCTACCCCTGAGGCAATATCCGAGGGCAAAATTAATGTAGATGTTATACTAGATCCTATAGAGTCAATGGGGAATTGCCTGGTTGGTTCTGGTTTAAGTGTCACTACATCACCCGTATAGTCCATACTATATACCCACACGCACCCCCCTTGATCCTCTATACCAGCACAAGAGCACTTAGATTCCCAGTCTGTAATTTCTGTGTCTGTACTCCTAGTGTCCCCATCCCCCATGGAGTCCTGTACACATTGGGGTACATTGGTAACCATTACATGTTTTCCCCCAGGTAGGGGCACTACTGAGCTAATACTGAACCCAGGCTGAAAGCATTTCTTTAACTGCAAACACTGCACTATCTTGCCATCTTTATAAGTCACCCCTACAGGCAAAGTATTAGTGCTTTTATCACTGGTCTCCTTTTTCTTTGATTTTGAGTTTTTGTCATCACAGACTGAATTATGAAGCTCGAAGTTTGTCTTTGATAACGTCACTTCCTTCTGTTTGGGTATAGTCACCTTAGTTTCAACGACATTCCCGAACTTTGAGACATTACTACTCCCCGTACCGAACGTCGTTGAGGGGGTTACACCACCACCAAACTTTGACACAATTGTAGGTGTGATTGTCTGTGGGTGGATTCCAGATATCTCTGAAAGCTCCATATCATTATCCTCCATGTCACTCATATCTTGCATGTGCATGTAGAGGTCCTGTAGACCACTCACCATGCCACTGCTTGGAGGTTTAATTTTCATCTCACTGGCCTTGACCTTGCTACTCGGGGGCTTACTGCCCAGAATGTCATGCACAACCAAATAAGGTTTTAATTCTGGTTTAGGTGAGTCACTTCTACTAGGGATGATCTCACATATATTGTCTTCACTAATTGCTTGGTTTACTTCATTCAGAGCAGCAACTTCTTCACCGGTGCTTGTATTAACAGTGTCCACTGTAGGAGGAGGGGGTGGGGTGGTCCTGAACTGGACTCCAGAGATTAGGGCGGGTCTAGCAGGCTGCTGGGTCAGGGAGGAAGGGGGTACATCTCTGCCACCTGCTACTACACACAAGGCAGATACAATTACATCCTCTGATGGTCTTGACCTTTCACAAGCTAAAGCCTCTGAAATTATAAACCCATTACATGCTCATGAAGTGAAGTGAAGATCTAATTAATTAATAATTTGTGACTGCTTTGACTGATTTTGTCTTCTTGCAATCCATGATGCAACTTGCTGTGCTGACTAACTTTATACTTTAAGAATTTTTCATCTCATTTTCAAAGTGAATTCATCGATCAGTTTTACAATGGTGAATTTACATGAAACTGAAAAAATCAATGTATAACATCAGCAACTACTGTAAAAAATTAGTGAGTATCAAGGTATTGTGCACAATACATTCAATACCAATTGTTTGAAATGGCATAAAACATAAGATTTTCCTGAGCTACAAGCCTACCTTTGATAGCTTTCCTATCGTTATCTCCTAGGGGAATCTCAACAGTCTCCTCTCCCACTAGCTGGCTAGTCTGCCAAGCTCCTGTCAGTTCAATGATTTTGGCCACACCCTTGTTACTGTCCACAGGCTGGGTGGCAGCCTCAACAGTATTGCACTCATCATGAGATGCGTTGCCTTCCGTGGATCTAAAGATGTAAGTGTATGTAATGAATGGATGGAAAGATGGGTGGAAACAGGGCTACACCATATCCCTACAGAACTTGTTGCAATAATCACATATCGGTAACTTACATTTGTGATCATGTACTGTTCATTAGTTCATGATCCAATGAGCGTGAGTTTGATTTTAACAACTCAAGTTTTGCAGTAAAATCTCTATATATTCAACTTAAACTCTAACTCACTACATACTCAATATCTCTCACTAGTTATCACAAGATAGTACGTGGTATAGTAAAGGATACATTGTAATTAAAAATACTCATACACTAAAATATAACTTATTTTATTGTTTTACTTACTGTGCCATATTGGAGGCTGATGACAGGTCCTGGGTGGCTTGTTCTGCACTAGTTGACCCCCCAGTGGAGTCCTCCGTAATATTACTGCTGCTCCCTGATTCTTCCCCCAGGGATTTCTTCAATACTTCCCTGACCACACCATCTTGGGGGTCAATGTTGAACTGCACATGTTTCTATAAATTCAATATAACAAAATGCATTATATTGAGATATTGAGCAAGGTATTAACATGCAAAATGCCACCACCTGTCATTCGTTACAGATGCTGAACACCAACAGCCGAACACCAAACACTGACCACCAAACACCATCTAAAAAAGGTTGAAGACTGTAACAATATGTCACCATTAGTGGTGGTAACAGAAAAACTTGAGTTTGAAATGTACAATTGAGGAAATTGAATGTTAAATGTTTAATTATTTTATTTCAATCAAACATTTTGATGATTACCTTGAGCACTCTCTCCATGGACCAGACCACAATATTGCCATTTTGAGTAGAGGTTGCTATGTAGTTGTCATCTGAGGTCCTTCCTACGACTGTGATCTTGTCCTCAAGTGTACCATGCAACATAGCAGGTCCAGTGGCGTATGTCACAGATAGAGGAACATTCTGTGTGTACTCTCCCTTTACAAAGGGGCATGAGGGAGAGTGCCGTTCATGTTCAGACCTACAAGTTGAAATTAAAACACAATTTAAAATTGCAAGTGTGACATTGTACATGAACGGTATGTGATTTTTTGAGATCACCGTCTTGGTTGACACTTGTTGTAAACTAATGGATCACTACAACATACCATGGTTCATCAGTTGGCTCCCAGCATACTAAGCATACATTGCATGTGAAACACATGGCCCTGTCATCCCCTGTAGAATTAGGCTGGTGGTAGAAACCTGCCTGGGCCATGGGGTCAGGTAGTGCCCACCTGTAATAAATATGTTATACACAGTGCATGAAATAAGCTGTTTTATACATGGGAAATTTGTTCTCACACTCTGAAACTATGAAGGCAATAGAATATTACTCTATTAATTGAAAAAATAGAAAAATTAAAAATATTAAAAATACTTGTGAAGTACTGTACCATAGTACACCTTCACAGCTTCATCAACCATTAGTGGCATACATTAAAACAATATCACATCAACTAATTTAGAGATATCCACATAATTTTAATCTAAAAATTTAAAGCAAAAATGAATTTGAAAACTCACTTGTAGTTCATATGAGGCCACTTGCCAAAAGTGTCCCTACGAGCAGCCTCACTATACATGTTGAGTCTATCTACAGGCCCATTGTTTACCTCATCCTTTCCGCCAACTAAGAGGTATCCTAGTCTATCACTAACTGCTGAAGCCACTGACAGGCCAGGTTCATAATGGTGGAGACGTTTCATTTCAGCCACCAGAGCGCTACATACTGTCTTCAACCAGGCATGTGGTAGCTTAAGACATACTGTACTCCACTGGAATATAACACAGTCAATATATCAATCTTGCATGACATCTCTGGTCACAAAACATCTGGAGGGAGAATGACCAGGACCCTTTTAAAACCCAGTGTTAAAGGGCAGTTGTGATCTAAGAACATTCTATAAAAATGACACCCTGACCAACTGTTTTTTGTTTTGCTGATCTGTGTTAAATAATACCATGTTGAAGGTTTGAGACCAGTTGAAAACACTGATCTGCCCTATATAACTGAATACTTCTTTAGCAGTTCCATGAATGGCAAATTTTTCAGGATTCTAAAAAATTCCTCGTGAGAACCCATGATATGATCATTATTCAATTCACCTTGGCAACTTTCAGGTTGTGCTTTGTGCTTTCTCTAGTTGCATCTATCTCTTTCTCCAGTTCCTTGAGTAAATCCTCGACATACTCAACACCCTGTAACTCTGCGGTCACTAGTAGGTGCAGTAAGTGTCCCGCCTAAAGAGAATCAAGTCAAGGAAGAGTTATTCAGATGATAAGTTGTCTAGTCTCAAAACGTGTCAATTATAGTAACATATTTGGTAATTTACAATACACAACACACACACACACTCAAATTATAAGCTGAAGTCTTGATAAAGATCACTGATAAAGTAAGACCCAACTTAAAATATCTTACCTCTGGAAGCGGGAGTTCAACTTTGACAACATCATCAGTTTTTCCAACTGGAGTCTGAAGTGCAGTTTCTAGGAGTAGGACCCCATTGAAGTCCCTTCTTACCCCCAAGGCTTTACAATCTGTGAATACAACACGGTCCTTCTCTGCCAGATATGTACACTGCATATTGCCACTGTTGCTCTCTGAAATAAAAGCACAATGCATATACTGACATTGACAAAGCTGATTTTGTGATGGAAAGGATCCCCATTGCCCATGATAAGTCAACTTTGAAAAGTACTTATTTGAAACAGATATACAGTAAAACCTGTACAATCTGAATGTCATTGGGACTTTTCACATTTCAAGGTTCTTGCATTCGTGAGATTTTGGATTTTTGATTGAAGAAATGTGAAAACATTCTCAATAATAAAATATTTATAGTTCTTTTGGCCACATAGCTTTATGGAATTTCAGTAACTTGAAAATTCAATTCAAATGAATTTGTAATGCCAAAAAGCCCAGCTAGGATTGACATGTCGAACTGTCGCATAGATCATATTTGTATACATAAAAAAGGGTAAAGAGTGCAAATATTCACAATCTGTAGTTTCAAATTAAGGTTTTGCCAACTTTTACTATACCTTTGTTTGAGAATCAACAAATTATGTGTAAAACAGTGTAAAATCAACACATCTTTCATAACATTTTCAATTATGCATGCGCATTTCAGTCGTGTTCTTCTTTTTGTTTTGTTGATCCTGCAGCGCAAAATTGCACTACTGCTAAATGCGAAACCTGATCAACCATTTCGTTTAGTGTGCGAGACTTCATGAAGGAAGTGAAAAATAAACAATTTTTTAACAAATGTTTATACCTCTCTTCTAACTATATCATATAGGTGTATATTTACAACTAATATGTCATCAATCATGACTATCTTTTTTGTAATCAAAAGTGCTCTACAAAAAGCTTACAAACAAGGAAATCTGTCATATAAGAGGCTATAATTTTCATTTCAATTTCCTTGACAACAAATCTATAAATAAGCTACTGAAGGACAACATTGCACAGTATATGGAAAAATAAAAACATATTGTAATAACCTAATGTAATGTATTATAGGTTGTGCAGTATCGGGGGATGATTTAAAAATCAGGATTAAACAAAACATATACCATATTCCCTCTAATAAATGTACAGTGTGGCTTCCAAATTCTCCTGGAGGAGATGTCTCAAATGACAAAATCCACAGGGATTTTTGAAAAATGAATATATGAGCGATAATAGGGCATTTCATGATTTTCGTCTTTAAAAGTGAATTTGCTCCAACAAATTAACATAATACCATACCTTGATGTTTTCCTCGTTAATGCATTTATCGATCCGCTGAATGTGTTTTCATGGGTTAATCGACATATATGTGTCAATATCCATGATAACATTCACTCAAATCATTCCAGCGAGGCTGCCATTTAGGAAATCGATGGCGATGCCCGAGTGTTTAATCTAAAAGCTTTATTTCTTTTACAGACTGATCTTCATTGTCAGAGAAAATACTTTTTATATTCATACTACTGTACTACAAGTTTAAAAAAAGGAATGAATGTTTTTTTAGTGGGTGAAAGTAAAGAAATACAACTGAATTGGAAGCTCTTATCACTGCGAGTGTCAAGTGGTTTCCAATTTGCTTCGGTCCGATTTAACGTATACATTGTATTATAGCTTTTAACTCATCACTAGAAAATTATCAAGAACAAACTTATAATTCTAATTCTCACCGCCTAAGGGAAGGTAATGGGAAATGTATGATGGGGTAACAGTACATGTTAGTTTTCAATACAGAAAATATATGGAAAATCTCTAATAATGTTACAGCATCACCACATATCAGTTATATCATCATCTGTAAAACCCTATGTTATAAAATCACAAAAAGGGAAATATCTTTTATTGGACAGATAATATTTTGTTTTACTGGGCACATTTTCATTTCATTTTCATTTAACTATCAGATACATATAAGGTTATATGAAAATTGTTCCACTGGAACTGATGAATATTCAAGTATAAGGGAACTTTCTAATATATCTGCCATGTTATCTGCTTCGGATTAGCCACCTGGTGGTAAAACTGGTAACTACCTATTGGCATCTGGGTAGAAAAAGGTGGCTCCTTGGCTTAATTGATTCTTTAATTGATTCCTAGTCCAAATATCCACAAAGACAGCATATGAGCTGAAGAACTTTACCCAAACAAACCAGGAGCGAAACTGAGGTTTTGATGGTGAACATTTACTTATGTACCCCTAAGATGAAAACTTCAGTTAATTGATACACCCAGGTGACTTATGTAACATGTGAAATGCCTATCAGATAACAAAAAAGCCAAGCAGCTGTCAGCAGGGGGTATGGGTTAGCAGTTGTGGGGTACATAAGTAAATGCAGCTTATACAGAGGGTCCAAGACACTTGAGTCACTGATTGGTTACCTTGAACTTGAACATTAAAGACTAAAGACATGAGTACGACCCTCAAAACAAACCATGACATATTATGGAGCAATGATTGCCTATATGGCTGAAGCAAATGCGAGAATTCAGTCGGTACCTAGATATTCGATAATAGAGAATGCTTGCACCAAGACACAAGTGGACTGAACAAGACCAATACTGTGGAGTGATACAATAGAAGTGTGTCAGTGACTAAAAGTCACCAGGCTCAATGAAAACTAGAACTAAGTCTTATACAGTTTGACCACAATATGAAGACCTCCGGCTTCTTTATAATTAGGATAATTGAGAAAGTATACATAAGTAAGATCAAAACCTTTTATAATATGTTGCTGCCTTAACTTTTGTATACTCTGGCTCGTTTTGTAGTTTGGCTTTCATATGTTTGGCCTCGATTTTTTGATGCTTTTATGTCATGTTATTCTTCTTTTTCTTGTTTCCATATATTGTTGCACTGTGGTCCTTTGATTGCTTATTTTTAGATTCAAATTTGTTATTTATACAAATTTGTTAGCTTATAAACAAACATTAAAATGTGTGTGTCTGTAAGTTGTTTGTAACTGTCCTAATAGGAAGTGGCAACTAAAGCATAACCATTTCTCAATGACATAATGTGATACTGCCTTTGGATTATGAAACTTCTATTTGATGAATAAATTGCTCTTGTTTCTTATATATCATGAGGAACAATGCTTTGAGAAATCAGAATGCCTAGATCCCATGATCTTAAATGAAAGGACATATGATATTTTGAAAGAATTATGAGGATGTAGTATTACATAAAGTTCAAATGAAAATGAAATAATTGGAAAAATAAAAAAAAATGGAAAAGAAATAAAATTTTCTCACCAGAAAAGTCTGCATTTTGCAGAATAACACCCGTTGTTACATCTAAAACTTGGATAGCGTGATCCTTAGTCGTCACTAATAGTGTATGCAGACTCGAGTGGTACGTGAGACCTGTGGTAGGCCTACCGACGGACAAAATCCCGTCTTCCCCAACAAACCACTCATCGGGGTCGGCCATTTTGACTTACTCAAAATCTCGTGTAATGACAGGCACAATATATCATAGATACGAATTTTCGATCAGTTTTGAGCACAGAAAACTATTCAGTATATATCGAAATTACATTAAGTATTCATTCCTTATACTAATACATTGCTAGATGATTTCTGGACTAAGATATTACAGAAACACAAAAGGTTATTTTGAGGTTAACAGCGAGATCTCGCTATGACAAACGAGAGCGCCAATTTTGATTATTTTTTAAATAAAAAGTTTGCGTTATATTTAGCTGAATTACAAGACATAGAATCATGACAGACTATCAAATTCAAACTGCCAGCATTGTGAATGTTACGATCACAAGTTCAGTCAATTCCTTTGGTACAGAAAAGAGGTTTGGTAAAGACTTGACCATAATTGAGTTGAAGGTAAGGATCTGTCATTTTCTCAGTGATTCATTCTATGAAATTTCTAGATTGTTCTTCAAATTTAGATTTGCAAAGGAATTTTGTTAAATGATCAGGGAGAGTCAGATGAATATTCTCATCAAAAACACTGTTTTGGCTTACTTTGCAAATGTCCAGATTGGTGGCAACTTTTACACGTAGATACTTATCCCATGCCAAGACTATAGTCCTGAGAACGTCCCAATCTTTTGCATATTGCAACATTGGAGAATAATCCACTCTTACACTTAAAATACCTACCTCAATAAATGCTTGAATGTTTTACGATTCCTTTTAGCATGGGCTCTTTTATGTATCCCCAATCATAAGGGTTTATCGGCATAGAACAAAGAATTTCTTGTTTTTGATAACATTTTATGTGTGTTATTTCACTTATTTGAACTGTCAACAGTTCTACCAAGGATTTTTTCTCAAGTGGATGCAAAATTCTTGATTTCACAATTTAGTCCAAATAACTAATAATAATACTGATCCAATTTTGAATCTGTTTTTACTTTTATGTTGCTTAAAGTCAGGCCTCTCTCCGTAACGCAATCTTAGGTTGTTCCCGGGGTCCCTGGTAATATTTTGTGCTTTAATGAGAAAATATACAATAATGAACAAATGGAGCAAATACTGTGTAGAAATACTCACGATAAAGATGTTATTTTGACGATTGTTCATTCAATTGCTGAGAGGTTCGCCGGTAACCAAATTTCTTCGTAGATTTCTAAATTTAGAATGTCACGTGACTTACTAAAAAGAAGTTTAATTATAGTCCTTAGAATAACAACCATACCTGGGTAGCTCAGTGGCAGCGTCCCTGCTTGACACTTCGAAGGTCCGGGTTCGAATCCCGGCTCCGACTATTTTTATTTTTTAAGTTAATGGTTATGCTTTGATTTTACGCTAAAAAAACGTTTATATCTATGTCAGATCTAAATTTAAGCATTTATTATCTCTTCAGTCGTTTGAAAATGGAAAAAAAATTTATGTTCACATATTGCGTTTTGGAGAGGGGTATAGGTTTAAACCTTCTGCTCATAGAATAAAAGTCATAACATTGCAGAAATTCTACCGTACAGCTTCAGTTCTTAAAGATACATTGCTGTACTTGAAAATTCTGAACCAAAAATAGATTTATGACATCACATTTTATGCAAATGAGCTAATTTGCATAATTGAATATTTTAATTATATGGGAAATTGATTTAGGTTTAATTTGACACCAATATCATTTCTATAGACAAAATAATGACAAAGCTACAAATGATTTAAGATTCCAAGGTAAGATGTCTATAGATGGGTAACCATTAGTGGTGCTACGATAAATCGGCAACTCGAATAATCACTCGTTTGGGGGAAAAAATTTGAAATTCGATTTTTGTTTTCACCTCCGATTTCAGCTCGAATTGTGTACCATTCGAGTTGGGTTACGTCAATTCGAGTCATGAACACTATTTACTATAAAAGTACTTACATGTTGATCTATAATCAGCTAGTAAAACGTAAAATAACATGTAGAAAACAATTTGTTTTGTTCATTTCTTTTACTTCCGGGATCTAACCTTATCTCCAAAAGCATTTCGTTCAGTGAGCTCTGGACGAAATGCTACAGTAGGATAATAATAGGGTCAGAGCCTGACATTATATAACTAATAGCTAACATTATAGTAGCTCGTGTTGCTGGAACACTACTAATACTTCATCAGATTCAGATTTTTGAAATATGACTTAATTGGGGCTGGCTTGTCTTAGTCTTGTTTTGTAGTACTTCGGGGTGCTGCAAATTCTATAGCTGGAACCGCTAATAGCAAAATAATTAAATGCATTTCGAAATTTTACTTCCGGGCGTCTTTTTTATTTGTTATACGCCTTTAGAGTTGATAAAATAAACAAAAAACATGTTTGAAGGTATGTAACACATTGCACTTTATTTGTTTTTTCAATAACATCGATGATTTACATCAAAAAAGTGGTTGGCAGCGGGTTGGGAGATTCCCTTCAAAACTTTGGAAAAAATCGAATTTATTCGATTAATCGTCGTCAGTCTGGTCCCGATAATCGAGTCCGAAAATTCGGGCGAGTCCCACCACTAGTAACCATGGTAACGGAATGCTACAATACAGAGCAACCAATGAGAGTTTGCGAGGGCATCCAGTAGAAAATTGAACCTCAAAGTGTTACCTTTCAAAAAAGTATGGATGCCATAAATTAACAGAGACAAACACGTTGGGTAAATTTTTGAAACGATAGAGAGGCATGGGTTTCTGACTATTAAGTCAAGTCCACAAAAATTGTTTATGATAAATTATATGAATTCTATTTTTAGGGAAAATGTGAGGTCCTGACTGGTTCTAAATCTGGGAACATGAAACTTGAGCTTTATGACAAAAACGACAAACTATTGGCTCACTTAGATAATGATGCTGCTATGCTTGGCTCATATCCCTGTGATGATGGTTGCAGGATACATGTAAGAATAAAGATATATATTTAGACTTCCAAATGTTTCATTCAAATTCTGACAACATGCAATTTGTGTGATAACAACATAGATTTGGACATTTTATTTTGAATTAGAAAAAGTTCCAAAATTTTACAAAACAACAGGCAATTTTTGGAGCAACCAGAGAAAATTACATTTTGCTTGCTGATAATGAAACCCCTGGACTTCTTAATGTAATCAAAAAGTCTTAAGGAAGTCTATTTCATGTGTAAATAAGGTCCAGTAAAGGAGCTATTGTTTATTTTTTTTCAAGGTTTTTATTATGTCACCACCAAAAGTTGTTATGGTCTCAATTTTTGTGATGGCAGTTTATGTCTGGCATCTAGCATTCGGCATCTGTAACAAATAGCAGGAAAAAAAACTGTAACAAATGTCAGGTGGTGACATTTTGCATGTAATTCCTTGTATATTTTATGAAATCGGGAGTCATCTTATGTTACTCATATAAACATGTATTGCTGACAATAGCTATGGGCAATATGATTGTTATTAACACCTTATCCTATGATCGTGCACTGTTCAATGTTGTAGATTGTGGATAATACAATCAAAGCTGGAGAATTTGAAGATGTCTCACAAGTAGAAAAATTTGAACTGACTGAAGAAGAATACTTAAAAAGACCAGGTAAGAGAAAGATTATTTGAATTCTATTCTTTTTGGAAAAGGTCATTGTCATGAATTTTGATTTTTGATTTATTATACATTTTATGAGGCATAGAAAAACAGGATCATAGTCATCATTTAAGGATTTGCTCACAATTTTAGGCAAAATGAATCAAAACAAACATCAAAATAATTGGGAATTTTAATTTTTTAACATGGAAACAAAATTCTTCAAAACAATGGGTAATTCTGGTAAAACAACCAAAGGAAATTGCCTTCTGCTAAATAAACCCCTTGTTATTTAACACAAATCTCATCATTTAACACAAGTCCTGTTATTTAAAGCAGTCCAGTCTATTATTGTATCTGCATTCTAAATCTGTTCCAGATTCAGTTAGAGCATATAAAGAACGTATGAAGCTGGGACGGTTTGCTGAGATAAGCCCAGAGGAGAAGAAAAGACAAGAAGAGGAGAAAGAACAAAAGGAGAAAGAAGAGAAGGAGAGGGCAGACAGTATGAAGATTGGAGACAGGTGATAAAACATGGAACCATCTTATATATGCTGGAATTGAAAAAAGATGGCAGTGTGATCATTTTGTCTATTTCCAAACAATTAAAACGCCATCTTTATGTCTTTCTAATATGTATGCTTGAACAGTATCCAACAAAGCTTCTTTTATTTGATTCAGTCTCAAGTTCAGGATGAGTATACACATTAATGATATCTTCTGTCTTTAGCTTTAATATCTTTGATTTTGTCATCTTAATGGTGTGGAATTGTTCATCTTCTTTATTGGTCCCTGCTTTCTGGATCATTCTCATTGCTTGTTCCAACAGTGTTCAGCTTTGCCATATTTAACACTCTGTCTTCAAACATCTTGTACACGTCAAACATATGTTCATTGGCCACGTTGCCAGAAATATAGGCAAGACTTTTAATTAATAAGATGTGTACATGTGCATGTATAAATAGTTTGATGTTTTCAGATGTGAGGCTAACATACCCAAGCCATCAACAAGGAGGGGGAAGTGATTTATATTTATATATCAGCCTTGAAATACACATGACTGTTATGTTCAATGTTTCAGATGTGAAGTTACCGTACCCAAGCAGCCAACTAGGAGGGGGGAAGTGTTGTATGTAGGAACAACAGAATTCCAACCTGGTCTCTGGGTAGGGGTAAAATATGATGAACCTCTTGGTAAAAATGACGGCAGGTATGTGATGTAATGCGAATAATATATATTAATTTATATTCATTAATGCTGAGTACTTTTTCTATGAGTGGTAGGTTTAAATGATAGAGAATTTGAGATTGTTAGAACATAGAGTTGTGTCTATATTTCAAACTACAAGATTTTACATGAAAACACAGAAATGAAATCACTAATTTCTAATAACTACATTTTACAAGTGATACACTTTTTGTTTTAGTATTATCTCAATTTTTGTTTTATTTCAGTGTAAAAGGTAAAAGATACTTCACCTGTCCACCAAAATATGGCGGCTTTGTTAAACCTGGTCAAGTGACAGTTGGGGACTTTCCTGAAGAAGGAATGGACTTTAGTGATGATGACGAAATGTAAAAAATAACTGATCTCAACAGATTCAATTCACCTGGTCTCTGACTCCATGAAAATGTGGATTTTATCAGTTTTGATGAAGGTGAATTATGTCAGATTTCCAGCTTATTCCAGTGGATTAACCACCACACTATTACAAGCAAAATGAGGAAGGATATCTGATGCGGAAGATATTTGAAGGAATGTACAATGTACTTTGTAATACATATTATTATATACACCCATGGATTTAAGGAGTTGTGATTTCATTATGAAATTGACGCAGCATTGATTTAATAAAAAGCAAGGAATTTGTGATAGCTTTGCATAGATTTACAGGATTCTCTACAGTCATTTGTGATAATGTGTACTTGCTTGTGGACTCTTCTCTAGTCCACAAATCACTGGCCAAGATTGTATTCCTTACAAGGTGTCTCATAAGGATGTCATAAGGATTAAGTCCACTGGTTCATTAACATTCATGTACAGGGTGAGGCAATGAAAATGTAAGTCTATCAAAGCAATAAAATAAGCAATCAAAGAACCACACATATTGCACTATGGTTCTTTGATTGCTAGGTTTGATTTTCAGTAGCTCACATTTTAGCCAGATACTCCTCAAAAATAAGGTCTAATCTCCAGTATGACATTCTTCTGCAGGTTTAGCTGAATCTAGAACTATCTGACATCCATTCCTCTATCTGTACAATTATGATATCCAATTTTGTAAATACAAATGTTTAGTAGCATATTCGACATGCTTACTACTGTATGCAGGCCCTTAGCGACCAGGAGGGGAGTCTTTATTTTTGAGGGGGAGCTTACATTTTAGCCGAGCTCAAATTTTGCCGTAAATTCCTTTATACCAATTTTGTTTAAAATCTCAAAATGCATACTTTCAAAGAAAAAAAATTCAAATTTTCATGGGTGAAATTCTTTGGGCCCTCGCTGACTCTGTAGTCTAATGAGGATTGTATGTTGAGCAGTATTATCTTTAATGTTGAATGATGTTTAAAGGCCATGTCAAATAATGATATGTCACTTTTACGTGAATGTAATTTTGCTTGGGCAGTGAAAATGCCACTTTTGTGAAAATGAAACATGTTAATGTCATTAAGCTTTGAATGATTGGAGGTAGGAAGCAATTCTTATTTTTTGTTACTTTCATGAAAAAATACATTTTACGATTTGATCTTGCCCCTGAAGTATTATTTCTAAAGGCTTGGTTTTGTGACAGTTATTTATATTCTGAGTCAAACTGACACTTTAGTACAATGAAGAACTAGTCAGAAATTGATCAATCAAAATTGTCAGATGAGTTTTTACGAAATATAACATTAGAAATATTTGCATTGGCTAGACATAATTGCTGAGTTATGAACTGAAATGAGATACAGACTAGCACTGAATGTAGTTAAATGCAGATATCAAACAAAAATACAGAATGGAATTATCGTTATAATTATCATACTGCAGTTTAGATAGAAATTAATATTTACCTTTAAGTGTATCAGTTTTTCTTTATCCACTTGTAGATATCAACCTTTATATGTGCCAGTGGATGTAAGATTTTTTTAGTGGAATTATCTGTACTTATTTTAATTGTTCACCAGTTATCAGATAGAACCACTGGCCATGTATTTTGAAAAAAGAGCAAGCATGCTAATATTGGGCTTTTTAAAAAGTGATAGATTATGCTCATCTTGTGCTAATGGGTGGACAGGTGTGCTTGTGGGTGCCACAAGAAATCCCACCAGCAAGAAACTGTTCATCCATTGAAATTTTTACAGATGCATACAAGTTCCAATATCTGATTAGATTTTGAGCATGCTGGGTAATTTCCCGGGGTAATTTACAATGCAGCCAATTCCTCTTCTATTGAGATGGTTATCACTGTATGCCTTTTTTAGTTTAAATCAAGACAGTTCTATGACTCTGTCAACAAAATGATATCCTTTGCTGGTAAAATATCCATAATATGGGCATGTTAGTACTGTATGACTTTTTTCATGTTTTTTTTGTGATTGCTAGAGAATCACTATTATGTTACCACCAAGAATTGGTAACATACGAGTATTGTTATAGCCATTGTGACTGACATTAGTATATGTAACAAATGGTTACACACTGGTGACATTTTGTTATATTACTACCTTTTTTATGATATACATACATGTATTATGTTACCACCAGAATTGTTGACATTTTTGTTATAGTCTCCTATTTTTTGTGGATGCCTTTGGCGGTCGACGTCTAAAAATGGATGGCAGGTGGGGACATTTTGCATGTCCGCGTCTTGTTTGTTTTGTTTTTTTGTGACATTTTTCATGTTAATACCTATTTAATTCCATTGTAATTGTACATATAATGTGTACCTGGATGCATGTTACTATGACATCATTAATCTGTAATGACTTGTGTTGTGTATTTTTTTATTTATTAAATCTCTATCAATGAATTTGTAATAAATGCTATTTATTCCTCAATGACTGACGTGTTTATATTACTATGAAGAATAGGTTTGAGTAAGTAAGTTCAGATGGCTGTGATCCACTAGAATGCATGTAGGATTGAATAAGTAATTTCAGATGGCTGTGATCCACGAGAATGCATGTAGGATTGCATCTGGTCCATAGGTTTGAGTTTGTAAGTTCAGATGGCTGTGATTCACTAGAATGCATGTAGGATTGCATCTGCTCCATAGGTTTGAGTTTGTAAGTTCAGATTGCTGTGATCCACTAGAATGCATGTAGGATTGCATCTGGTCCATAGGTTTGAGTTTGTAAGTTCAGATGGCTGTGATTCACTAGAATGCATTAAGGATTGCATCTGGTCCATAGGTTTGAGTAAGTAAGTTCAGATGGCTGTGATTCACTAGAATGCATTAAGGATTGCATCTGGTCCATGGATTTGAGTAAGTAAGTTCAGATGACTGTGATTCACTAGAATGCATGTAGGATTGCATCTGGTCCATAGGTTTGAGTAAGTAAGTTCAGATGACCGTGATTCACTAGAATGCATGTAGGATTGCATTTGGTCCATAGGTTTGAGTAAGTAAGTTCAGATGACCGTGATTCACTAGAATGCATGTAGGATTGCATCTGGTCCATAGGTTTGAGTAAGTAAGTTCAGATGACCGTGATCCACTAGAATGCATGTAGGATTGCATTTGGTCCATAGGTTTGAGTAAGTTCAGATGGCTGTGATTCACTAGAATGCATTAAGGATTGCATCTGGTCCATAGGTTTGAGTAAGTAAGTTCAGATGGCTGTGATTCACTAGAATGCATTAAGGATTGCATCTGGTCCATGGATTTGAATAAGTAAGTTCAGATGACTGTGATTCACTAGAATGCATGTAGGATTGCATCTGGTCCATAGGTTTGAGTAAGTAAGTTCAGATGACTGTGATTCACTAGAATGCATGTAGGATTGCATTTGGTCCATAGGTTTGAGTAAGTAAGTTCAGATGACTGTGATTCACTAGAATGCATGTAGGATTGCATCTGGTCCATAGGTTTGAGTAAGTAAGTTCAGATGACCGTGATCCACTAGAATGCATGTAGGATTGCATCTGGTCCATAGGTTTGAGTAAGTAAGTTCAGATGACCGTGATCCACTAGAATGCATGTAGGATTGCATCTGGTCCATAGGTTTGAGTAAGTAAGTTCAGATGACTGTGATTCACTAGAATGCATGTAGTATTGCATTTGGTCCATAGGTTTGAGTAAGTAAGTTCAGATGACTGTGATTCACTAGAATGCATGTAGGATTGCATCTGGTCCATAGGTTTGAGTAAGTAAGTTCAGATGACCGTGATCCACTAGAATGCATGTAGGATTGCATTTGGTCCATAGGTTTGAGTAAGTTCAGATGACTGTGATCCACTAGAATGCATGTAGGATTGCATCTGGTCCATAGGTTTGAGTAAGTAAGTTCAGATGGCTGTGATCCACGAGAATGCATGTAGGATTGCATCTGGTCAATAGGTTTGAGTAAGTAAGTTCAGATGGCTGTGATCCACGAGAATGCATGTAGGATTGCATCTGGTCAATAGGTTTGAGTAAGTAAGTTCAGATGGCTGTGATCCACGAGAATGCATGTAGGATTGCATCTGGTCCATTGGTTTGAATAAGTAAGTTCAGATGGCTGTGATTTACTAGAATGCATGTAGGATTGCATCTGGTCCATTGGTTTGAATAAGTAAGTTCAGATGGCTGTGATTTACTAGAATGCATGTAGGATTGCATCTGGTCCATTGGTTTGAATAAGTAAGTTCAGATGGCTGTGATTTACTAGAATGCATGTAGGATTGCATCTGGTCCATTGGTTTGAATAAGTAAGTTCAGATGGCTGTGATTCACTAGAATGCATTAAGGATTGCATCTGGTCCATAGGTTTGAGTAAGTAAGTTCAGATGGCTGTGATCCACTAGAATGCATGTAGGATTGCATCTGGTCCATAGGTTTGAGTAAGTAAGTTCAGATGGCTGTGATCCACTAGAATGCATGTAGGATTGCATCTGGTCAATAGGTTTGAGTTAGTAAGTTCAGATGGCTGTGATTCACTAGAATGCATTAAGGATTGCATCTGGTCCATAGGTTTGAATAAGTAAGTTCAGATGGCTGTGATCCACTAGAATGCATGTAGGATTGCATCTGGTCCATAGGTTTGAGTAATTAAGTTCAGATGGCTGTGATTCACTAGAATGCATGTAGGATTGCATCTGGTCCATTGGTTTGAATAAGTAAGTTCAGATAGCTATGATCTATGAGAATGCATCTAGGATTGCATCTGGTCCATAGGTTTGAATAAGTAAGTTCAGATGGCTGTGATCCACGAGAATGCATGTAGGATTGCATCTGGTCAATAGGTTTGAATAAGTAAGTTCAGATGGCTGTGATCAACTGGAATGCATGTAGGATTGCATCTGGTCAAAGAATCCAATACATGTAATATGACCAAACAGAGCTCCATATTGTCATATCTCGTTCCCCATGCTTCTGAGGCTACATGTTTCACTCA